GCAATGGTAGCTGGGTTAGAGCTCTGCAGATCAGGAAAAGATCCTCTTCCAGTGGAAAAGGAATAGAGCAGGAGTGTGGAGGGGCTGGCACTTCACTTGAGTGATGTTTGCCTGGAGGGGCTTCAGGAAATTTTTCTTGTGTTGCTCCTGCTGTACTCCCACAGCTGGAGGGATAGTTATGTTTAAAAATGCCCTGAAATCTCTGTCCCAAGAGGTGACATGGAGCTGTGAAGTCTCCTGGGGGAGAGAGGAAAGCTTCCTGTCAGGTGGCAGAGGAGCAGGGCTGCAGCAGGACCCCCACTCCATGCCCAGCATGTGGCATCTCCCTTTTGCAGGGATGAAAACTGCCTAGAGCCAGGGGAAGGGAGAGGTCCCTGTGCAGCTCTTGGGTGACAGCTGGGGGGAGGCACAGCAGGAGCACAGGCTCTGCCAGTCTCCCTTTGGGGTGACTCCTGCTGGGGTTGAGCCAGCCCCTGCCCACCTGTGAAGGGGCTCAGTCTGCTCTCCACACCAGGAATTCTCTCAGAGGTATGAGCTGCCAACATAAGCTACACTTGTTTGTTTTATTCTCCTTATTTTTTTCCAATGAAGGCTTTCTCTCACCCTCAGCCCTGCTTCTCCACCACCTTTTTTTTTTTCTTTCTTTTTCCTTACTTAAATTGTTTGACTTGCAAGTTCCATCCCTGGGGAGGCTCCTGGGCAGTGATTCACCTGGCTGGAGCCAACTGGCAAATAGAGTCTTTTGCAGACAAGACAGGAGGGCTGGTTGGTTTGAGCACCTTCAGCCAACAGGAAAATAAAATCCTATTTTTGGAGAACGATTTTGTTGGCATGAAGACCTGCCAGGATTCTTCAGAGCAGCAGCTGCCAGACTGCCTCCCTTACTCCTGCAGGGAAAGCGCTTTAAATGGAATCAGATGTTGTATCCACACAACACACCCACCCACACGTGAGCACCTGGAAGGACATTGGGCAGCAAAGGACACCGTGTGTGTCACCTGTCCCTGCCTCCTGAGGACAGCTGCTTCCAGGGACAAGGAGCAGTGGTGTCTGCTCCGACCAGGAGCTTTGGCTGACAACAGGCAGCAGAAAGGGCAGGCTGCTCTGTTTGCTTTCAACTGAGGAAGAAAGGAAGGGGAGGTGGAGGGGGATGTAATCCCCTGGTGCAGGAGGAGCTGGTTCCAGTGTCTGTCTGGGTCTGGTTGTTCTCAGCAGGAGTCTCCTGGTGTATGAAAGGATGCCCTTTGCAGGGAGTGGGGATGAAAAGGAATTAAGGCGCTATTGGAACATCTCAAAGATAGAGACTTTGTTACTTGTCAGTGTAACCTGGGATAAATCAGTTTGTATCTGTCTGTGTCTCAGTTCACCGAGTGCGGCGAGGACAAATTGTGCAACCCCTGAAAAGCTCTGCTTGGGCTGGGGACAGGGAGCACAGAGCACCCAGACCTCGCTAGCTGCAAAGCATCTGTTCTCTCTCTCCAACTCCTCCCCAAGCATCATCTTGCTTCTTTCATTGAACTTCTCCTTCAGACAATGTGAAATCCATTCAGCTGGACATTTTCCCCCACCTCCTCTCTGAATTTCCCAGCTGTGAGATAGAGCCAAAAGTTTTGTCATAGCTGACCGGAGCACTGCGGAGGAGCACCCCGCCGGCTCTTGGCCAACACAACTTGTTAGTCAAACATTTTCTTCCTAGTTCTGCTGCCATTTGCCTTCCCTGTCCTGGTCCTTCTCTGTACATCCCGTCCCTCCCACAGAGTGGGCAGGATGCGTGGCTCTGTGTTTTTCACTGAGGTGTTTTCCTTTTCTGTCCCAATTCTTAAGCATAATTTCCAGGGACTGGTTTGAAAAAAAACACCTTGAAAAACGATGGATTTTCTATACCAAAATCCCTTCTGCACTCACAGGAGACTCTGATTCTGCTGGATTCTTTAATCTCTTTCAAAAGTCTCCTGTAATGGGCTGCCAGTTGTGACCTGCCCGTCTTACAGCACCATAAAATGAGTTTCCTGCCCCATGTGTTCTCCCCCAGTCTGGGCTCCTCAGGCTCTTGGAGCAGTGCATGGGAGAGCAGAGGTGTCACTGCTTTGGGGAATGAAACCAGCGGGATAACAAAGTCTGCTTGTAACTTCTAGGCAGGTTGTTTTAGTTGAATAGTGCTAGTTCTGTTCCTGGGGAACATCTCTCTCCTTGAGGCTCAAGCAGGAGAGGCACCAAAAAAACAGCTTTAACAGACGTGTGAGATCCCATAAATTAGGACACTGTGGTCACTGGAACTGTTATTGTGGTTTAAACTGTTGCTGCTTACCCCATGGAAACAAAGTGCTTTCTTTTTCATTAGGGGCTTAAAAGATTGATTGTTTCCTGCTGTGCAAGAGCTGTGCTGGGATAGCTTTCACAACCTGGTTTGGGTCTTTGCAGACTGTATGGATGCTGAAATATCCCTCTCCTTTGCCACAGCCACCAGCCTTAGCCTCACTTAATGTGCCAAACCTGTGCTTGTGTGCTAAGCTTGACTTCTGGACTAGGATGCCTGGGGTTAGTTGAATTGAATCTTTCCATTAGTCTCCTCTGGCTTTCTTTTACAGCTTGGGCCAAAAAGCACCCCAGCAAGGGGTGAGCTGGGGGTTGCTTGTGCCAGCAGTGCAGATGGTGTGTTAAGGACAAAAAAGGTGTTGGCAAAAATGGAGCTTTGGTGCTGAGTCTTTTCCTGGGCCTGTTCTGCTTCTCAGCTTCCTCCCACTTTGACCCTTTTCCACCCCATCTTGAGGGCTGGAAGAACCCTGAACTCTGTGGGCAGTCACAGCCTGCTGTGAACAGGCTTTAATGCTGAATCACTTGGTTGATGGGTGGCATTGGCCAAGCATAGGAATAAATCTGGTTTTCAAGGTATTTGGATATTTGGAGAACTATTGCTGGAAAACCTGTGTAAAAGTTAGACCTCTATTAACTCTATCACCAAGTGCCTCAAATTTCCTGTCTTTAAGCAGCATGGTTAATGCTGGAAACTGAGGTATAAAGAAAAGAGTGAAACACGTGTGAAACATATGCATTTAAATAGTTCCTTATCTGGCTTCTTCTATTCTGGCACAGGAGCACATTGTTTATGTCACATTGCAAGACTTTTAAATCAAATTCAGACAATGGTGTTTTAGTCTGGAGCAAGCATTCCCCTGGCTGCTATGATGCTGCTGTAGCAATATTGTTTTTGTTGTACCATTCAAAGTAGTGAAATCTCCCCATGTTGGCAAAAGCTCAGCTCCATAGCAGATACCCCAGCAGCCACAGGGCCAGACTGCTGCTCAGTGGCATCCATGGGTCACTCCATGCCCAGCTCTGAGGAAGGAAGGATGCAGCTGGGGAATGCTGAAGGCTGTGACTGAAATCTGCAGCAGCGTAAGTACAGTATCAGTCTATGCACACTCATATTTTCCTTGGCAAGCCACATGACTGTAAACAGCAAAATATTCTGGCAATCTTATTTTATTTTTTTGTCTTGCCTGAGCAATGATTTTTCCCTGCACATCTCTCTTCTGATCTGATCGATTCAGCATGTAGCAGAGTTATTTTTCCCCTTCTTTTTCATTAAAGAAAATTGTAGCCCCCCTGCCTTCTTGTTATATTTGACATCTTTGTCTCTAGATGGCAGAAGGCTGTTTCCAGTGGTTGCTTACCACAGCTTCTTGGCATGTGCACAGGCCTCAGGGATGTAGTGCCTAGCTGGAGAAAGGCAGACAACTTTCCTATTCACAGTGATTCCCACAAAACAGAAGTGTTGAATCCGAGCAAGCAGTAGCTCATGTGAGTTCAGTCCTTCATGCTGTAGGGAATTGGTACAGAAGAGCTGAAATGCTGGCTCTGAGGGCAGCGGCAGAACTTTTGTTGGCTTAAGCCAGGCCTCCCATCTCTCACCTTAAATTTTACCACGTAACTTTTTACCTTTTCTGTTCACCAGGAGTTAAACCCTCAAAGGTCAAGGGAGGTCTTGGATGACAGTTTCCCAGTGTAGTTCTCCTGTTCTGTCTGCTGTGATCATTTCAGTTTTCATTGTTGCTGATGGGTTTCCAGATAAGGCATTGGCTGTTGCATTCCACTTCCCTCAGATTTGCTTTTCCCAGATAACCAGTGTTTGTAGTACATAGGGAAGGGGGCAGGACAGGAGAAATTCCTCTCTCTGTCTGCTTCATCCCTGTCTCTTGAGCTCCCAGGTATTCCAGAACATGTCCTTTGTATTTCTGGTGAGCCAGAGAAGGGGATAAAGCACTTCTACTCTGACTCCCAGTTCTGTGGGAGACAGAGCATGGCAGGACAGGGAAGAGGAAGCTGCTTTGGGATTTGGTTGTAGCAGGGAATTGGATGGGGAGGGCTTAGAGGAGCACAGGATCTGTCCAAGAGTGAGAGAGAACGTGTCACACCACCATGTTCTGGCTCTGGCTCAGTACCTCCACTCCCTTCTCTATAATTGTCTGAAGTCTTCCAAACTTGCATCGGATATAATGAGATGAAGTCGTCTTTTGTGGTGACTTTTTCATGTAGTAAACATGGCCTTTCACAGCTCTGGGGTGTGGACTGTAATGAGTTTGGAAGCATTTGCTCCTCTGGCAAGCTGAAAGGGAGTGAATTCACCAGGCATCTCCGATCAGCTCCATTAAGCATCTGCATGGGCTCCAACAGGCTTTGTGCTGTCCAGCTATCCTGAGAGGAGGGGGTGCTGCTCAAATTATCCTGCTAGTAGATAGCACTAAATAATTCAGATTGACAGCCCATTTTTTAATAGTCACTGCAGTGAGGTTTATGAATCAGGGGTTTTGGCCTTGTGGAGCTGTGCTGGTGTGGCAGGAGTGCCTTGGATGAGGACAGGCAGGCTGGTTGTCCCATGTGTCCCTGTGTTCTGCTGCTTTCCAAAGTGCTGCACCGGGTTCAAGGGGAGTGGTTTGTAACTGACTTTCTACACCAGGGAGCCTCAATAACTAACATTCATATTTGCCTCCTCTTCTCAGGGTTTTCCTGGTAATTTTGGAGAGCGAGGACCTCCAGGCATCGATGGGAACCCTGTAAGTTCATTACATTTTCCTTTCTTTTATCCTTTTGCAGTTGGCACTGTACTGCATCGTGCTAGTTAGAGCTGAGTGAAGCTTTTACGCTTGGTGGCAGCTTCTGGCTGATTTTGTCCCTCCTGAAAAACAGATGTACATCCCTGCCCAGCTGAAAGCTCCTGTGTTTGGTTCCTGTAACTGTCGAGTCATTTACCATCAGTTTTCTGTCTCCATCTCTTGCCTTCCTTGCACCTCAGTCTTGATAGGCGCTTTCTTATCCAGAAGGTGTGACTAGGAGAAAATCAAGAGAAAAGGGATGTTGCTCTGGCAGAATAGGCAGTGTTGGACCATGTTGTCCATACCACAGGGCACAGATTCCCTGCTCCAGTCTGGGAGCACTGAGGGACAGCCTGCCCAGCCTGCCCCATCCCTCTGCCAGCCCTGGGACTGCATGGGGACTAAGTCTCCAGTCTCCTGAGTTCTTGGCCTCCCTTCTCTCTTCATCTGACCCCTGCTGACTCCCTAAGAGTGGGATGTGTCTCCTGGGAATTGGGTCAGGATGGTCACAGAGGTCATTTAGCAGCTGGGTGCTGATAAGGTTTAATTTGCTCTGCTCTTGTAGCACTAAGCTGTGGGGATGTGTAGAGTTTGCCACTGCTCACAGAACGTGTCCTCGTGGTTTGCAACAGTTCTCAGATGTATTAATTATCCTAAACTGTTTTCTGAATTACTTTGTTGGTTCTCCCTGAATTAGCATGTGAGCAGCACTGATTCATCTTCGAAATTCCTGCTGCCTTGGTTATTCACACATAATCACCGTGCTGCTCTGGGGTTGGATGGGATGATTTGTGTGAAGCAACCCACTCCACATGTGCCTGCAAGTTCCCATTTGTCATATATGCAGCATAAAAGTTATTTTCACAACCGACTCCAATCACCAAGCCAAGCTCAGTTACAACTCCAGCCTTTGTGGGAATTCAGCACAAGAATCATAAATGCAGTGAACTGAAGGAATGATGTTCCCAAGGAATACTTCTGCAGGACTTTTCCCATCCTTCAGTCAACTTAAGCCATGGGTCAGAGTGGAACCAGTAGTCCCAAAGTAGAAAACTTTCTGATTGTTCTGCTGTTTCCAGCCAGCCCACCAGGAAGAGCAGGAATCCTGGAGGACAGGAAGACTTTTTTTTCCCCCCCAAATAACTTACTTTGTTTTCTTTTGAATATGCAAGTTGTCTAAGCCCCATTCAGAAGATGTCCTCGGTGCCAGTCAGCTGAATGGCAGTTCCCAGAGCCTGGGAGAGCAGCAAATGTCCCATTAATTCATCCAGAAGGATGGCTCCTCTTTCATCTTATCAACGGCTCTTAAATATTAATGTGCCTTGGCGATCGAAGAATGAAAACAGACTGTTTGGGCTGACTTAAAGGGAGGTTCACAGGGTCACAAGCGGAGTCACAGACGCAGAAAAATGCCAGAAAGTCTGTTTGTGGTGCACACAAATATACTAGGTCTGGTAGGTGGGGTGTGCAGCTGAGCTGTCAGAGGCAGGAGCACGGGCTGCCACATCCTCTGATCCCTGCTCGAGTGGGGAAGGCTGAACCCGACAGTCTCTGATCTCCTTTCCATCCCCTCCGGGCACAGCACAGGCTCTTCCAGCTCCAGGGGCCTTCTGCCCTCCTACCAGCCCATGAGAACTGTTGAGCCATTGCATTCCAGATCCCATGTGCCCCCGAGTGCTTTAGCCACTCCAATTAGGCTCTTAATCACAGGAATTAGACGTGGGAAAGGGCTGTTGATTCATCTTCTCTCTTGTCCCCGTGCCCGGTTCATGCACTGAAAAAGGAGAATAGAGCCTGGTTTCCCTGACAGGCCAGGGACTGATAGACAGGAAAGGCCACTTGTAAATCCTCCACTTCCTAGACCAGGGAATAGCTCAAATTAACAAGTAGTCCTGTCCACATCTCTCAGGGGAGTCCTATTCCCAGAGGAAATCCTCTTCCCTTGGCTGTGAGGTCATGCATTTCCACATACATCCGTTCTCTTGGGGAATATCAATACGACACGAGTCAGAAATCTGGGAAGTGCCTCGTGAAACTGGTGGGACCAAGAGCTGACCATGCACCCATCCTGCAGCCCAGCCACCCTGGAAGCCTGCAGAACTTCCTGGGAAACCCAGGCCACCGTGCAGCTCCTGTGCTCAGCATTCCCGGGGTACTCCCCCTCCTTCCTGAGCCAGTAATGCCAGCCCTTGGCTAAAAGCTTGTCACTGACCTTATAACAGTAGCTCTGAGGACGCAGAAATCCCACCCATGAGGAACAATTGCTCCACAGATGTCCCAAGTATGCAGGAAAGGAACTGGCCATAAAAAAAAAAAGCAATTTTAGGCTGGTTGAGATTATGAAACACTTTTTTGTGTGTGTACTTGCCCAATAGTCCTTTACTCCACTTTTCATAAAATAAACACACGTAACCCTTTACCCAAGGAGCCCTGAGCACATTCAGTCACGTTGTGTCCCCTTCTCTTTCCTTCTTCCAGTAGGCAAATCCTTCCATAAAAGGGGAGCTATATTGCACTGGAGGGGACTCCACCAGATGTGCACCATAAACTGAGCAGGGCTGTCAAAGAAAGTAGCCAGCATGATCCAGAGCAGGGGCAGGACTGTCTGAATTAACAGGAAGTTCAGCATTTCCAATGCACTTGTTTTGAGGGGCCCTGTTGGAGATGGAGGTGTGTAAGAGCAGGTCCTTGCCCTGACAAGCAGCTCACTGTTAGCGTGGCCAGGGAGGCCACCAAGGGGGACACGGGACAGGCTGAGCACCCCGTGGTTGCTGAACTGCTCAGGGGCCTGGATAGGTGAGTTGTGGGGGGCTGGCAGAGCTTCTCTGCTGGGCTTCACTTGAAGATGCCACCAGGCACCCGCCAGTGCTTCTGCATGTCTTTGGAGAGCTCAGAGAGAGAAAGTCTGTGGTGAAGCTGAGAAGCCAAACCAGCTCCACATGCCCCATCAGCAGTCTGACCCTTGGAATGGTGAGCTCCAAGGTGCCAAATACACTCCCAGGACCTTTTTGCCAGCACCAGAAGCTGCCATACCCTCTCCCCAAACTACCCAGTTTCATTTTCATGCAGGTCTTCCTTTTCCTCTGAGTTTTATTATTACTTAACCACTCCCAAAAACTCACCTTTCCCAATGTTAAAGCAGCAGCTTTCCTCTCCTTCCCACCTTAGCCTTTCTCTCCCCATGTCCCCTCCCTGCTCTGGTCCCTCTCCCTGCCAGTGGCTGGATCTCACCTGGGGCAGGCTCCCACCTCTCCCCTGCACAGTGAAATGTTCCTTTCATCCAGCCTGCTCCTGGGAGGGAGGTCAGCCCTGGGAATAACTGCCCAACAGCAAGCAGCCTGTGTCTTCCCAGGATGTGCTCACAAGTGCACTCCCCAAGGTGGAAGTTCTGGATCACTTTGGTGGGGAAAGGGGCTGTGGATGGAAGGGGGAGGGACGGTCTTTTCCCTTCCCTCAAGCCCTTGAAACACTGAGCTGCCTTTCAGTCTATGCTTGTCTATAAAGTATCCGTAACCGTGTGGGTTTGTCTTTCCTTTTAGGGAGAATTGGGAGCTCCAGGTCCTCCTGGAGTCCTTGGACTCATTGTAAGTACAAAAACAAATGGGGATCTGGCTTGTCGGGCTTTAACCCTTTCAACCTGCCTAACTACACACAGATTTTCTTCTTCCAGTGAGCAGGATACCGTTTGTATGGGGGAGGTGTGACATCTGGGGAGAGAGTGGGTTTCCCGGTGCATTGGGAGGTGGAGGAGGGCAAACCCTTTCCAAGCAAAAGGAAACAGATTAGAAGTCTGTTGTTAGTGTCTTTTTCTTTCGTGATAACTTTCCCTTTTGATAACATTTGCCAAAGTATTTCTTCAAAGATGCAGCTTTCATTCCACACCAGGATCTCTGAAAAAGCAAGTCCCTGTAAGCAGTGACCTCGGGGACACGCAGTTCTTGTTCACCAGAGAGTCTGAGGGCAGGAACAGTTTGTCTGGGTAGACAGGAATTTTACATGCACTCTCACCATCCCATCACTAATCCAGAGCATTTTGTACTGAGCCAAATTCCACCCTTCATTCCACTTTTTCCCCAGCAGGAGATAAATGGCTGTAAGGATGGGTGGCAGCTCCTCCCCTGGCAGCAGTGCTGGGGCTTAGGGAATGCCCAGCTGAACATAGTATGGTTTATTTTTAGGTCTCAGGACTTGCTTCAGGTTATTCCCTTCCATGCACAAAAATTGGTAGGCTCTGTTACTACTACAGCATTCTTTTGTAATGATTCCTCCTCAGCTGTGATAATCCATGGAGACTTGGCTTGCAAGGAATGGTTAAAAACCTTCCCCTTTTGCCTTTCCATAGCTTAAATTATAGGAGTGTGTGTCAGCTTAGATCCACTGCACGAGACATTGCACAAACCCAGAAATTTTACATTCCTTGGAAGAACAGCAGGGAATATGGGTGGAACACCTGTCTTGGAGATGGGGGATTGGGGAAGAAGTGGATTGAGAGGAAGGTTTTCTATGGAACCAGGAATTAGGTCTGTTTCCCCTCATTGGGGAGTGGAGATGGAAGTAGCTACTTTAGCCATAGCAGTAGAAAGGATGTGCTCCCATCAAAAAGCTGGAAAATGAAGATTGCTATTTAAAACAATACCACTGAAGGTGTTTTCCAGATTGAATTATATTCCTCCTTGCTTTTGGAAAGATTTATTTTTTCCTTGTTGTGGTAATCTCACAGATATTTTGTCTGCTAGAAAGCGTAAGGTCAGAGATGGTAAATGTGACCGTGGTCCTTCTGGAGATGCTGGAGTCAGAAGCTGCCTGTCCTCCCCATCACACCAGCCTAGCCAAACCTCAAACTGAGATTCAGGTCAAACTGAGTCAGACCTTGTGTTCCAGGGTCACATGCACCTCCTGAATTCAGGATGCTGAAGCATCTCTAGTGGGATAGACCGAGATTAACCTCCTCCATCCTCCTGGGGAGAAGGGAGCACATCCATCCTCCCCCTGTGGAGGACAGCTCCAGCTCCTTCCCCAGGGTGTGCAGACGGGGCCCACACTGCAGGACATGCAGAAGGTGACACATGGCTCCTGTTGTGTCTCTCCCTTGCGACCTGCAGCCACCCTGGGGACCAGCCAGGCTCTGGCTGCCTCACACACCCTGCAGAGTTTGGTTCACGGTGTAAGAGAGGCTGAAGAGCAGAATTAGGTGTAACTAAAGCCTCTTGCTCTCCTAATTAACCATGTGGGCAGAGCTCTAAGTAAATGCATTTCTACAAGCAGCCTTTATGCTAGGAGGTATGAAAAGGGCTCTGTTGGGGCTGCTGCAGCCCAGCTCTCTCTGCGTGACCGCAGCCCCAGGGCTGCGGCTGGAGAATCGCTCCTTCAGGGAGCCTGCCCTGTTTATTTACACACTGAGGCCAGGCTGGTGCACCCTGTCACTGCCTCTCTTCATGGCACAGAGCAGCCAGAGCCCATTTCAACACCAGCACTGAAGGGTTTCTGTTGTACATCACACATGGGTGCCCACAGCAGCCGGAGCTCTGCTGTCCTCCTGAGTCCCAACACACAATGCCACGCTGACTTCTCACTGCAGCAGGACGAGACACCTCTGTCCCCCACCTCCTGTCTCTCCTCTCTTTCCTTTGAGTGCTGCCTTTATTTAGGGGCTGTCTGCACACTCAAAGAGCTTTGACTCAGGCCAGGATGCTGCTTCTGTTGACATCAGTAGTGCATTTCTTCAGGGACACTGAGACTGGATATCAGAGGAATTTCACGCCACGTGCAGGCATCTGTTGGGTTTGCCCCTAATGACTGTGGTAATTTTCTTTCTCTCACTAGGGTGACATGGGCCCTGTTGGACCAATTGGCTACCCAGGACCAAAAGGATTAAAGGTGAGGGAATATCTGAGCTCTCTGAGCTCTCATCCCTCCATAGCTGGGCTGAAGGTTATTCCATTCCTCCTTTGGGCAGTGGTGACTGTGCTGAGAGAAGGGCTGGGCAGCAGTGATGTGTGTGCAGGCACAGGGCTGCTGAACACAACATCCCACTGGTGCTCTGCAGTGGCTGTAAGTCAGTGGAGAATTCCAGAAGCATTTCCCAGTGTGCCTGCAGCACATGAAGAATGTGTGATGGAGCACACTTTGGGAGCAGCCTGGCATTTGACCCTGAGACTGTGCCAGGCCGGTGCTGTGGGTCTGAGCCACCAGCCCCATCAGTAAACAGCAATGTCACAGACCTGAGCAAGTCTTCACCATGGCTCAGCCTCACTCCGAACTTTCTTTTGTTTCAGGGGCTGATGGGAAACCCTGGAGAACATGGACTGAAAGGTGATAAGGTGATCTGAATACTCCCTTATTGCACTGTGTTTTAATTTTGCATGTAAAACCCCCTTTCTAGTTTCTTATTCAGCATTGTAGTGCTGGTTCCACTCTGGCCAGCTCTGCCCCATCCTCTCACTCTCCCTCCTTTCGTGACACTCTAGTTTTAATTTTTCTTTCTTTGATATCTGCCCCATCCCTTTTTCCATGGAGTATAGATAAGTTATGCTCAGATCCTCTTTGGAGCTCCTGCCTCCCGCTGATGATGACAGTAATTGTGGAGTTATCTGGTGTTCCACTGGTTTTATGTTGTTTACGTGATGGGATGGGGAGAAGATGATCCAGTGAGTTTGCATTAATGCATTTGGGGGAAAGATGTGTTGTGAAAAAGCAGCCCTGTATCAAACCAGGTGGATCCCCTGGAAAAACTGTTGGGTGTTGGATACCTCTGCTCCTGCTCAAGGAGCCTCACCTCAGTTCAGCTTCCTACTGAGAGGACATTGCCTTGTCCCAAACTGATATAAATCACTTTAGAAAAAGCAAAATGGAGAGGGGCCTTGATTGCAGTGATTTAGTGGTGCTGGCACAAAACCACGCAGCTTCAGCTAGATCAGCATGAAGCTGTGTGTGTAAATGTCTCACTGTCACAAGAACCTCCTCCTACAGATATTCAGCTGTAGGATTTATTTAGTCTGAAAGAGTGGGAGGTGCTGTTATTTATTGCTGGCTCTGATTGCTCAGGAGGGCAGTGGAAAATGACCATTAAGTGTATTCTCCTCCTCCTGTTGGATGTTTTATTCTCTTTTTAGATGTTTGCTTTCAGAGAATGATTTAGCAGCCCAAAAGTGCACAGGGGGGAAGCAGTGTCAAACCAGTTGGTTCAACTCTTCTTATGTTATAGCAGCTCTTTGCCAGGACTCCTGTGTCTGCAATTTCCATTTCTCCCTTGTGCTGCCTTTCCACTTCTTTAGAGTAGTGACAAGGCACGAGAAGGACTTTTTCTTTAGGACAAGCTTAAGACATTGTAGCTGGTTTCTGGACTAAACCCCAGATCCTGGAGTCCACAGACTCCTCCATCCACTCCTTGGGAGAAATGGCTAAATATCTTAAGAATCACCAGAATCTAAATCATTGTTTAGCAAAATGAACCTTCCTGGACAATTCAGTCTCCATCACTTTATAGAACTGCTCAGTTTATGCCCAGTATTTCCCCAGCCACTGCTGTCACAGTAACCAAATGGTTTGTGGCTCTCTCTGGAGTTATCCATCCGATACTCCCAAGTGTGGAATTATCCATCCTCCCAACAATCCCACACTCCTGAGGTACAGGAAACCTTTTCCTTCCCCTCCCAGCTGTCTCCCCCTGCAAGCTCCAGGCTGCAGGTCATCCTGCCTTCCTGGGGATGGGTTGATGAAGATTTAATTGGATGCCTGCAAGCTCCTGTTAATCCCATCTGTCTTGGTCACATCCAGAACACATGGCCTTGTACAGGTTTGTCTTTTTATGGCTGAGGAAATCTCCCTTCAGTCAGCAGCAGTGAGATGGATGCTGGTAAAAGCTGAGAATAATGACAGGGTGGCTGGATGGTGCATGGAGGCAGTGGGAATGTCCCTGGAGCTGCCAGCTCAATCCACCGGGGAGAATGTCCTCTCACCACATGGCCAGGTGTGAACCAGAATAAGGGACAACACCTCACTCCTCCAGCAGAAATCACATCTTTTTATCTAGCAGCTAGACAGGCAGGTCCAGGTCATCCTTCTGTTTCCATTCCTGTGTTTTCATGGAGGCAACGACAGGAGGAGGAGGAGGAGGAGGAGAGGGTTGTATCTGCTCTTACAGGGAGAAGTGGAATTGCTGTGTGACTCTGAAATAAAGAGTAGCCTTGAGAAGACCACGTGGGGTGATGAGTGCAGGGGAAAGGTGGAGGAAGCAGAGGAAATCCCAGCTACTTGTTCTCACAAAGGAGTTTTATGAATCAGGACATCTGTAGCTTGTGGAGGACATGGCTCAGGCAAATACCTCTGGAGTTGTGTGGCTTTAGCTCCCTTTGCAATGCTGAGCAGGAAGTCTTGGGAACAGAGACTTCCAATCGAGGAAAATTGAGGGGATTTTGCACAACAACCTCCTCTGCATCCCACAGACAGCAAACACATCCCACAGCTGTGCATTTGGTCCCTTCCCTTGTAGCCCCTCTGTTTGTGTTGGGTTACAAAGGGCCTCGGGGTGTCTGAAGCTGCATTTCTTTTTATAGGTGAAACACGAAGCACAGGCAGCATCCCATGGGCAAGAGCCTGTTTGTAATTTCAGATTCTACATTCCTTTTCCTGCCCCACGAACCGAGTCCTTGCAGACCCATTTCGTCATCTCAGCATTGCAGTTTTTAATTACAAACATGCCTGACCTCTTTCCTCTGTAATTTTTCCCTCATATTAAGGACACAGATCCCAAGTCCCAGTTCCAGGGCAGGTAAAAGGTGAGGCCCCAGCCCTCAGTTGCCCATTTCTCAGAGTTGTTTGAAAACTAGTTTCATTTCATTCATGCCCCACTTTTCCTAAAGGTTGGAAGCAAAGGTTTGTTCCTGCATTTTGCTATGCTCAGGAAACTTTTATTTTAGCAGTTATTACTTAGTGTCCAAGTATTTCCTCCAAAACAGTATTTCAATGGCCACTTGTACTGTCTGGGTAGAAAATTGTTTAATAAAAAATATAACCTTTTTTTTTTGACCCTCAGAATTGATGATAAAGGCAAACCTCAGAGCCAACCTGTCACTTCCAGAAAAGCTGTTTTCATGCTGGCTTCAGTCAGGAGCCAGAATTAAGTAGATTTCAATGTTTTAAGCCTTGGAATACATAAAATAAGTAGAAAATTGAGAGAAGATGAGAGAAATCTGTGAAGGAGCTGGGTCACACAGTAGTTATTTTTTGCCATTTCTGTTGTATCTAATACTTGGGGTTCTTCCGAACTGAAGCTGTGTGAAGAGCTGATTGTTTCCATTTTGCATTGCCAAAAAAAAAAAAATATGGAAAATAGCTTAGATGAAACAAAATGTTGGTTATTTGACTCAAATTAAAATATTTTAGGTTAAAAACCAAACGAGTAAAATCAATTTAACATTTTTAAGAGCAACATTTTGATTTTTCTATGTAAGAGATTTGTTTTGAAGATGGTTCAGCGAAATGTTCTGGGAACATTTGCCAAAACATTTAAGCAAATTTAGCATGAATCCATGAAATGTTTCCATCATTGAATCTGTTTAGTTCATAATTATTTTCTTCTGAAAAATTGTGTTTGAAAAGCCTTTACCAACTCAAACCTGAACTGTCCACAATTTCATTATCCCCTGCATGTTACTGAAGTAGTTATAATTATTTCAACTCTCTGATAACAAGTGGGTGGTTTTTCTGGAGTGAAGTGGACTTTCTCTGACATCTCTCTGTGGACTTTGGCTCTGTTGCAGGGCTCCATATGTCTTCCATGTGGACTGTGTTTGAACATATAGCTCTGGAGTGGTTCATTCCCTTGCTGGGAAGCCAAGTTCATGGGACAGAGTTCCTCCAGCAGTTATTTTTGTTGGGTCTTGTCATTGTACCAAGTTATTGTAGTCATTCCTCCCTTGACTTCCCAAGTAGAATTTTCCTTTCTCTGCCCCATCATTGACTCATCCTTTGTTTAAGTAAATCACTAAATACATGAAGTTGGAAGGGGCATCAGGAGGTAATTTGGTCCAGAGCTGCTCACAGCAGGGCTAAGAGCCAGTGCAAGGTAGCCCACTGCTCCTTGGAAAGCCTTCAGGGAGTCAGGATGTGTTCTGTTGGTCCAACGAGAGGACAGACAGACAGCTTGGTGAGAAATACTGTCAGTGATGGGCTCCCCATCCCAGTGAACACCAGCCAACCCCTCCCAGGGAATCTCAGCTCAGATATTGGCAGTGAGGTGGTACTAAAGCATTACCAGAAGTTGCTCTTGTTTTCTTGTGAAAGAGGATTGATGTTTGATGTCAGGACTAGGATATGCTCATAGAAACCCTGAGGATTGTTTTCTTTTCTATAGAGCCTTGTGAGAAAAAAGGTTCATTCATTGAAAACTGAACCCTTCTGTTCAACTGAATTTAACACTTCACCAGCATCATGGTCCCTGTGAGCCAGAGGAACTCTCTCTCTTCTTGCAGCTTCTGTAGATACACAATGCTTGGGAATTCCTGGGTTTCACTCTCCCACAGTTTCCTTTCTCACCTTGGGATCAAGTTGGGAAATACACACTTTGTTCAGGGTTGTTGCTACATTCATTGTGGTCTGCAGCTTGCCAGCAGTTTGGTTTTGAGTTGAGACTTTTGCTGTACAAAACACCTTCTAAGCATCGACCTGGGCATTTTGGCTGTTGCTGTTGCCTATTTTAACTCTCTGGTGATGTGTACCCAGGGTGATCAGGGAAGAGCAGGTGTTCCAGGAGATATTGGCTTCCAAGGAGACAAGGTAATTGTTTTTCTTTTCTCCATCATTCTTTTCCCCTTTCATAGCAGTGGTCACCAGTTTTCCCAGTTCCTCCACCAGGAGCTGGAATTAGCTGCATCCTGCTGTCAGGTTCCCCTGCTTGGATAGCTCCCATTTGGGCTATGCTGTGCCTTTCTAAAATCCATGTCAGAATAGGGATTTTGTAGTCACTCATAGTAAAAGCAGTTCTGCAGGCGTCTATCTGTAGGGGATATGTCTTCTAGCAGAGATTGGAAGTGATGGGATTGATGGGGATGTGTGTGAATGTGTGTGGTCCAGCGGCTGCAGACTCAGGAGATTTTGTCTGCTCAGTGCAGCAACTTAAACCCTGACCCAGGAAAGCACTTAATGCTCTGTATAACTTCTGATCAAATGACTTCTCCCCTGTGAATTAATGTGATACTGACTGTAGCTGACAAATGTTGCACACAACCCTGTGCTGGAGCCTGTGTGGCTCTGAGCCACAGCCAACTGCAGCAGCTCGTGTTCTTTGGGGCTAAATTCGGGGCTGTCTTCAGAAACATCTCACTGACATTAGTGCAGCTGTCCCAGCTCCCCGCAGGGTTGAGTCCAGCCTTTGGGAGATGCTCCTCATTCTGCAGCAAAGCTGGAGCCTGGGGAATTGGAATTTTTTTGATGCCTCATTGTGTTCTGAAAAAATGTGTCTCTCTCAGGGCAGCCAGGGCTTGCCTGGGGTCCCTGGGGCACGAGGGAAGGCAGGCCCCCTGGTAAGTAACCAAGTACCTTCTGCTTCCTAATCCCCCTTTCCAAAGGTTCCATGCCCAGCTGGAAAGACAGCTTGGCAGGGGTGTTCTGTTCTAAACAGGAAATCTTACAACCAGGAGCCAGCTCACTTTTCCCCATGTTTTTCTGATTTCTGCAGGGAAAAGTCGGTGACAAAGGACCAGTTGGGTTTCCAGGACCACCTGGCCCTGAGGTATGTCCCACCACCTCCTTCTCACATCCTTCCAGCCCAGGGCTTCACTTCCCTGCTGGGATATGATGGCACATAAGTGGTGAGAAAGGCTCAAGATGGGTTCATGACCCATTCTACTTCTGGTTTCCTGATTTTTTCCTTCCCCTTTTTTGTCATAGATAAAATGGAGGAGTTTTTTTCAGTTTTTCCCCCTCAAAACACCATTTAAAGCAGAAAATCCTCTTACTTCCCTTACCAAAAAACAGTCACAGTGATACCTTAGATGCAGGCTGAGCTTCCCCCAGCACTGCATCATTTTTCTCCTTCCTAAGCGACCAGACAAGGTCTGTAAGATGCCAGAGAGCCACTTGCAGCACACCTGATGTTCTGCTTTCCCCTCAGCAGCGTTCTGGCATTTCCCAGGGGTCTGGAAGGGCTCTCAGCTGAGTGCTGCCACTGAGCAATCTATTCCTCTTGGTTGCTATTGGAAATAAGCTTGGATTCCTTTGTTTCCTCCTCGATGGATGGGTGGGTGGGTGGGGAGGAACCATGCCAGGATGACAGCAGCTAATGAGGGTGTCAGCACCTTTCCTAATTCCTCTCCTGCTTCCCCCTGCCGCCGAGGCTGCAGCTCCTTCCTCGGAACACAGAGGTTATGTGCTGACTCACAAAGATTAATGAGAACCCCAATCACTGCTTTTAGCTGTGTGATGACAGGGAGGCCCTCACTGCAATAAATCTTGTAAGATGGACCTGAAGGGAGTTGCTGGGAGAGGCTGCTCTTCCATCAAACCCTTGGGGTGCTCCATCGTGTCCTCCCGAAGCCGTGGTGGCCCCCACACGGACGCTGCCAGCGTGTAACCCATCTTGTCCCTCAGCCTTTAACTCAACCCCTCACAGAGCCTGACACTGCCTGCAGAATCCCACCTGTGCACCCTGACTGTTCCTCATTTTCTCCAGGGCTTCCCAGGCGACATTGGCCCACCAGGAGAAAACGGTCCCGAAGGTCTGAAGGTGAGTGGAGCAGAGACTGCAGCTCCGTGTGGGGTTGGAAGCAGCCAGGGAAAACAAAGTAGTGGGAAGGGGGGAAGAGAGAAACCTCAGGAGATTCCGAAAGATTGTCCTGGCCAGCATCTCAGCTTGGTCTGTTTGGCTTGAGGTCCCTCCAAGTGCAGCGTTTTCTTTTCTTCAGATTTTTTTTCTGTAACAAAATTGACATTGGATAATGTCCCATGGCTGTGAAAGAGACTTTCTCATTTTAATTGCCCTTCTGAGCTTATGTTTCTATTTTCTGACTATCTTTTCCTTTGGCTCTTTCTCAGGGAAAGCCGGGAGCACGAGGTTTACCTGGGCCAAGAGGACTGCCTGGACAAGAGGTGAGTGTCCTAAGCTGAAAAGAGGTTTGATTTAAAGAAAAATGCTGAACTTTGTAAATTAATGCATGGTGAAATGGTGTCCGTGGTTTAAAATGCTCTGATCCCTCTGAATCTGGAAGCAGGTGCTTACACTGAGTGATCAGAGACCTGCAGAAGAGGAGCTTCCTCTAAGCTGTGTGATCTCCAAGTCCTGTGATCTCTGTTTCCAGTCACTGCTGGCATCTGCTGACCCTAAATTCTGCCTTGGCTTTTCTTTTAAAGCCTGTTCCCCCACCCCCAGATGGGTGTTGGAGCCCTTTTCCCTGCACATCCCCTTGCACAGACATGCCCTGGCCTGGTTTTTGCTTTCTGCTCCTTTTAAATGTGCTCCTTTTCAACCATGAGACCTTCAGACTCTGCTCTCTCACACGGAGAAACATCCCTCTGTAAAAAGAGAAGGAAATGGGAATTGCTGCTCTGCAGAAATTCATTTGCCCAGCACCTCAGAGCTTGCAGCTTTCACTCACCACTTCACCTCAGAACCTGAAGCATCATTCCACTTGCAGCCATTAAGAAGGGAACACTTGTCATTGATTTAATTGTCCTGGATCTGAAAATACATTATGGGAGCAGCAGAGAATGTCTGGGTTCCCTGTTTATCCTGTTGTAACTCCAGTGACATTGGTGTAATTTCCTCTCACTCAGGCCAGTGTAAGCTATTTGTCCAGAGTCACGAGACATTGTGTAAATAATACTGAGCACATGCATGGGTAGGAGCTCGTTTTAATAGCACTAATAATTCTTAACTTTTTCTGGGAACTCTTCTGCTTGTTCTCTAAATGGGATTAATGCAAATTAGCTCATTTATTTGCAGTGAAATAGGAAAAAAAATATTCCAGCCAAAATACAAAGGGAATCGAAGCCCTGCATTCCAGGTTCAGGCAGGCGTGACCAAGCTGCCTTCAATTTACTCTAGTTAGTGAGTGTAAAAGTAAACCCAAAGACATGGACATGGAGTTTGGTGCAAGCTGTGCTGAAGGACTTTGAGTGTGCAGCAGAGCACAGCACTGTGCTCCTACCACCACGGTCACCCAGGGCATTGGGTCAGGGCTCTGAATTACATCTCACTGGAAATGTGGTGTATTGTGGTGGCTTGTCTGAGCCCTTGGAGCTGGGTTCCTGACCCCCAATCCCACCCTCAGCCTGTCAGTGCCCCTTCATTACCACGGCTGACCACCGAAATGAGAGCAGCCAGGCTGTGGCTGCCAAGGGCGCTTTTAATTTCTCTCTTGGCAGTTGGTTTTAAACACTTGAGATAATTTTTGTGAAGCTTAATTGAAGGTCTCTTAGAAACTGTAGATCTGATCCTATCACATTAGAAATTGGTGTGGAGCCAAGGGAAAGGACCGAGTCCAATTGCTGTGTGAGATTTTGTGATAGCTCCATCCTGCAGCATGTGTAGTCCCAGCTGAAAGCAAAAGGGAAACGTTCATACAGTTGCCAAATGGTTGTGTGGGAAATTTTGGAACATGCTTTTTTGGGGGGAAGGGAGAGGAAAGGGGGGAAGAAAGAAAAAGGGAACTCTATAGCATTCACATCCCTGCCAAATCAAAAGAAGCAGAGTTAAGGCAGCATGTCCAGGGTACCCTAGTGGCCAAATCCAGCCCATCATAGACCAAATCAACTGGTGTTGCCTTGGTTAAATTTTGGATGGCTTTTACTGGCAGGACTTGACTTGAGATCTTTTTTTCTTGAGAAAGCTCAGAGGCTGTTTTAAGATAGAGAAGGGCTCAGCTGTTGAAATGTGACAGCTGAGCACACAGCCTGTGTTTAACTGCTGCTCACACTGCAGGCATTTCATTCCTGCTACGTGGTGAGTCCAAATTTTGTCACTACTTCACCTTTTATTTTAATTTCTTTTCACCTCAGGGAGATGAAGGACCCTTAGGACCACCAGGAGTCCCTGGTCCAGAGGTAGGTTTCAGTCATTTATTCACTCAGTTATTACCAGCTCTGATGACCTTGCAATGGAATTGTAGTTAATTTCTCATAAAGCTTCAACCCTCCTGGTTTGGGAAGCTAATCTGCCCTGCTATGAATAATTGTCTTGTCCAGGGCTTGATTAATTGCTTGATCCAGGATGGCTGAAAGTCCAGGAAGTGTCTTGCACAGGGTGTCGAGTTTATGACTTGCCTAAAGTCTCAAACCTTGAAAAACTCTCTAATGTTTAAACAGTTCATCCTCAAGATAAATGGCTTTGATTGGAAACCATCTCCATAACCAGCCCTTGTGTTTCTTCCTAGATTTATAGTATTTTTAAATGAGTAGAGGAAAAAGAAAGAAAAAAGACTGGGCAGTCAGAGAGAGTCCTTTTGCCCTCTGTGATCTATCAGAGAAACACAGTTAGAAGAAGCAAAAAGAATATTGTCATATCTGTGAGCTTGCCAGCTCAGGATTTTGTAATGGGTTTGTACAGAATTGTCACTTCAGGATAGTAAAATATCCCAAAATTGGTAACAGATAGATCAGAAAATGAATGTTATATCTTTATCTTTTATTTTATAAGCATGTAAGCTGCACCTTTGACCAAAGCAGCTGCAAGCTTTTGATGTTTATGGTTTTTCCATGTATTTCAGGGTCGATCTGGTCGGAAGGGATTTCCGGGAACACCTGGTCCCAATGGTCCAAAGGTAAGAAAAGAGCTTGTTCCTGATTTGGGAAGCACTGCGTAGAAGGGAAGAAAGGAAGAGGGAAATATCATTCCTCACCTTTACCACTCTCCCAAGTATTCATTCCAGAGAGAACAAGAGGGTTTCTCTTTTTCTCAGAATTTTGGGGTCTTAGCTTCTGTTTCTTTCTTCAAAAAGAATGATGGTGCATTTCTTAAGCCATTATAAACAAAAGTGTTCCTCTTTTGATATTAACCAACTTCTCCCTCCATCATCATCTCATTTTCCATCGCTTCTCCATGGTTTTGTTCTAAAACAATGCACATCATTCCTATCTTTGCTGCCTGATTATCAGCAGGAGCCATCCCAATGCACTCCACAAACCCACACTCGAAAGGAAAGAGAAAACCCAACAAAAACAACCTCTTCAAACAGTAAATAGCAAAAATATGGTCTGGCAGCGTATCTGGAGTATCTGCCTACTGAGAAAATACAGCTGCTGTCCTGGAGACACTGGTGAGCCTGTGATGGCCCATCCAGGGGCACTCCGACTGCCTCCACGCGCTGCCACAGCTGCCCTTATCCCTGGTGGCTTTGAAACCCTTCTCCTTCTGCTTTCTCCTTCACCCCTCATTGTTTTCATGTTCTGAACTCCTTCCTGCACTGGGATTTATCTCATGTAAGTTCTTGCTGTGGTTTTCCTGTGGGTGCTCCATGTGACAGTAACGTGAGCCTCTCTGAGGTTTTGTAGCAACAGAATCAGGGTGCAGCATTGCCTGGGAATAGTTGGGTTTCCTTTTCTTAAGCTTTGTAAAACTTTGGGATAAAGTCACTAGGACTGGGCTGGGTCTGTGACACAGGGCAGTAGATACCTTATGTTTCAATGTGGTTCTCTGAAGGATATTTTACTACAGCAGGACCAGCTTTTGGGGCGTTTCGCTCCAGAACTGCGAGTGTTTGCTCCATGTTTGTGTCAATAGTGTTTCCTGCTTTGGATTATCCTCCAAGTCACAGTTGGTTTTGTAAGACGTTATTTCTCACAGATTTTCCCCGATTCACCCTTTGCAGCCCAAATAATGGGTGTACAAAGAGCCACGTTGTGCCCAGGGCCTGGCTGGCAGTGCCAAGTAACCCTTGTGCCTTTGTCTCCTTGTCCTGCAGGGTGAGCCAGGAAACCGTGGCCGACCAGGAAAAGTTGGTGAGCAGGTAAATTCCTTATTTTCCTTGTCCCCTTGATGTGATCTCCTCTGTACAACACGCCCTGGGTGCCCAGAGTGCAGGCAGAGGGCAGTGGCCAAGGACTTCTGGCCACCTCAAAGCGGCCCACAGCCCTGGTGCTCCAGGTTCCAGGCTTTGCCAATGTAGTTTTTAAGGACAGGATTATCTGCTTTGGGTGCTATGTTGCTTTTGCTTCCCCTAAATTTTTCTAGGGAGTAGAGGAGATAGCAGCTGAAGAAACAAAACACTGGGGGAGAGAAACACTGAGCTGCATTTCATTGTAATTCCACAGAGAACATTCTGCTGGCATAACCCAGGACATGCATTATCCCTGTAGGCTTTGGGGGAACCACAAACATCAAGGAGACATCAAGGAGAAAGCAGCAATTGTTCCCACATCTCTGTCATTGAAACCAACAAACTTGTCCACCAACAACCCTGAAAGTGAAACCACGGGGCCTCCAATGTACTCTGTGTGTTCCTGCACCACCACACCGAGCAGGCTGTGGCAGCTGGCCCTGGCGCTGTGGGTGTTGCTTCTCACCACTGCTGTCCTTCCCAACACTTTCCCTGCTGGGGTCAGCATGCTTGGTCTGCTTTGGTTTAGCTTGTCAGCCTCTCTGGCTCTTCTTTACCCTGTGTGCAACAGCCAGGGGTCACTTCCACCAAGGGTTTCTGACCAAACAAGTCCAAAAAAGTCAAGGTGGATCCTTTTCAGTACCAACAGTCTGATACCAGCCTCAGTATCTATCAAAGGTTTGGAAATTAGAACTTCTGTTTGGAAATTAGAGCCATTTCTGTGTTATGGTTGTTAATTTGCTCCATGAAGAGCAAAGGAGCAAAGCTATTCCTCACATCTGAGTTCTACATGCAGCTTTATCAGACTCTGCACGATCTCAGGGAATACTTTCCAGTGCTTTGTGCCTCAGCTTCCCCTCCTGTGGAAGGTGTGAGACAGCCCTGAGCAGAGCTTAGCCCAGTGCCTCCTGTTCTGAAGTGGCACCTGTGGATACTGTTAAAAATGAATATTCAGAAGTGCTTTGAGATCCTTAACCAGACATTGTCCTTGAAGGGTAAAGCATCATTAGGATTATTATTCTTTAACTTCCCTCAGGACTGACCTTGGATGAGAACTGTAGGCACTGCTCATCGAAAAGAAAACACAGCTGGCCTCTGCTGACACTGAAACCAGCACAGTGGTAGGAAAGCTGCCTGTGTTATTCTTAGTCAATTAGTCTCTGTCTAGAAATATCACACAGAAAATTTCCATTTCTGAGCCAGTCAAGTCATTAGAACAAAAATGTTTCACCAGACTAACGAGAAATAACCTCCTCTCCCATCACACCTCCACTGAACGATGCTGGAGTGTTGGGGTTTCCTTCCTCCCTCCACTTAAACTTCAGCAGCTGCTGTTTGGGCCAGGTTGGTTTTTTGCAGGGCCCTGAGAGGATGGGCTCAGGCCCTTGCCACTGAAGACACCATCACCTCACCCTGTTTTTTCTTGTGGAGACCTTGGTGTTTTCTATTCCACAGTAAGGGTGGTCTCACTTCTCAATCCTGCTGCTCTGCCCCACAAATGGGTTCTCTCAGAGGAGAAAATCTCAGCATAACAGCATGAGAAGAGATCAGCCATTCATCTTACTGGAGATTTCTTCCCTTTCTTAGGGACATCTGTTTAGGAAAACATGTGAGTTTCTGTGGGTTTCCAGTGATACTTGAGCTCTCATTGAAAAATGAGGTTTTAAGCCACAGGGCAGTCCCTGATGCATTGTTTTTCCATTGCAAGGACACAGACTGGGGAAGATCATTCATGAGATGCTTGTTGTCTCCATGTGCTGGAAGGATTCCAGCCACAGGGTGCCCCAGTACCCTGGAAATGTGTGGGTTAACCCTTCCTTGCCTGCAAATGGAGTCAGAAGGATACAAAGAGGAATACGGGGCCTCAGGCCAGGAGAGCCACCAGCCTTCCTGTCCCAGAGCTGGGAATCCACAGCAGGAGAATGTCACCAAAATGTCCATGCTGAAGGTCAGAGAGCCCTGTGGGAGAAGTAACAGGAAGGTTCTGCCATCCCAGGGAGCCCCTACTTGGCACTAGAAAATCCCAGTGAAGAGTTGTGCCAGCTGAAAGAGGCTTCAATTGATTTATGTCCTTAATGGGACTGGGGAGGTCCTGCCATAGCAGGAGCAGCTGTTTGAGTCCCTTCCCCTGTACAAGAAGTGACAGCCCTGCTCACTCATGGGGCTGTGTCAGGGTTAGCCACAGACCCATCCCTCCGTGCTGGGAGGGACAGCCAAGGCCCCTTGAAGGTCTCTTGTCCTTTAAGATCAAAGTATGTTGTCTCAATATCAGCTTTTTGAGATAATTTGTCAAAGACACCAGCACCATCTCCTTCATGTATTTCTCCTTCCAGAGGAGAGGGTCTGTAATGTCAGGTTTGCAGGTGGGGAGGTCCTGATTGTATTAACCAAGGTCAAGAGGGTCACCAAGAACGGAGCAGGGAACTGCACTGGTGCTTCCCACAAGTTAACGCTGCTCCTTTCCAACCCATTTACCTTCTCCTCCAGGGCATCTCTGACCTCCAGACATCTCCATCAGGGATTTTCAGGCACCATGGTGTTCACAACCTCTTTGATGTGACACGGTGTTGAGAGCCCAACACGGGCCCAGGGCAGGGCTGAGCCCGGTGCACAGGGGGTTAAACCACATGGCTGTTCTTTGCGGGTCAGAGCGTCCTCCTTTAAACTGTGATATTTACTGTTTTACTTTCCCTTTCTTTCATCTGAATGGGAGGATTGTACATTTACTCCCTCCCGTCCTTTGTCCCTGGTTTGTTTTGTTTTGAGTTCTAGCGAACCAGTAAAACAGAAAGGCCGTGATCGGTTCCCGCTGGGAGCGACTAGCAGTCCCGTCCCTGGGAGACCCTGCTCACACTGGGCTCGCCAGCCGCTTGTTTCTCTCAAATGGGCTATGATTTATGCAAGGCTTCATTGCTGACTTGCTCTCCGTTGATGGAGCCAAGAGGGGGGGCTTAATTATGACAGGGCTGGACAATAAATGGGGAAAGCGAGACAGGAGTTAGGAATTACAACCCACCAGTCCCCCCTCCCTTCCTTTCCCCCACCCCCCCAAGCCCCCAGCAACTTTTTAACAATCTCCATCCCTTTTCCACCATGCCCTTGGCTGGGGAATACAGCAGACTGAATCATGAGCGACATGCTGAACTCCCGTCTAATATAAATGTTTTACATTCTTTCCTGTATAGTGTGGGCCTTTATCCGGGCAGCCAGCGCTGCTGGGACTTCACGTGCATCATTACACACACTGCCCGGAGCCGTGTTTGATGCAGGCCCTCTTTTCAACCCTGGGAACCTGAGAAAAATATGTTGTGCCACAGCCATTTCAGTGTAATGACCACCATTCATGTCTGCTTTGATTAAATATTTGCCATTGGCAGCTCTTCTGGTTCTTAAAACCTAAATCTTTCTGTCTTAAAACCTAAATCTCCTTGCCTTTAGTGTCTATCCCATTTTGGCCAGTGAAGAGCATCATTACCCAATCTCCCCGTGTTTTTTTCTTATACTCCTGATAATTTACTGAGATTTACTTGGCATAGACATATCTATCTCTGTTTGTGTCTGCTTGCAGACACAGCAATGTTGGTTAATTTAGCCCAGAGCAGACAGTGCTGGCTGCAAACACTGCAGAGCTACTGTGCTGGAAGCTACAAGAACCCTGCTCTGCATCTCACGTTCACACCAATGAACTGTCCTCTCACGTGGGGAGCAGTGACATCTTCCCCTGTGCTGTACCACAATGCACCAGCACAGGCAGAATTTTCCCTGGGTTTGGGCTGAAATGTTGGCTGTGCTCCCTTCCATCCCAAAGTTGATGTGTGCAGCAGGGCCAATGTTGATGTTCCAGCAGGTTTCTGCACAAGCTGCCTTAACAAGCAGCACATCTGAGGGGGTCTCAGGGCGGCACTGAGGGCTCTTGGTGTGCTCAGATCCCTGCAAATCCCTCTGGGAAGTACCACCAGTACACCTGGTTTCAGGACCTGGATTCCTGAGAGGCTTTTGAGGGTGGAAGCTGATGCTGCCATGGACAGTGGATCTGCAGATTGACCTTCGAGCCTGAGCTTGGATATGCAGCATCCCTGGAAGGGAGTTTGAAACAGTTTTGTTCTCAATGGGATCAACACTTGCTGCAGAGCAGGGATCCCTCTTCTGAGGGACTGGCCTAAGGAACCAGAAATTTCTTAAAGAGCATATTCACAGGAGAAAGAGAAAGAGTTCTATGGTTTTCCAAGAAATTGGAAATGAACAAGAGACATACTCTTTCTTGCTTTATTGTCTATTTTTGCCTAGCAATGCGTTTCCCTGATGCATCTCATTGCTTTGCATTCTCTGCCATAACATTTGTCTTCTTCATGGCCTTGGGCTATTGGAAGAATTTGGAAACGATGCAGTTGTGTACCTGCACTTGTGTCTGCTTGAGAGGACAATTGATCAGCAGCCTTCAGCAATGCCACCCAGTGGCAACCTTGCATAGGCAGATGTTGCAGAGTTTTCTGCTCTCCCATTGATTCCTGCACTGGGCAATCTGTGCCGAGTCCAGCTCTGTCTCAGGGGTGTCTGGTCTGGGCAGCCTGGCCACGATGACACTCTTGTGCTCCAGGACTGCCTCAGCTTCAGACACAAAGGCCATTTCAAAACAAAGAACATTTCAGAAAGGCTGGTGACACCCCTGCAGGATAGTGGAGCTTCTCTGTTTGTAGCTGTCATCCCATGGCTAATGGGTATTTCCATCATGGCACAGAGGAGACTGAGCACCAGCAGTGGCTGAGGGGATGGTCCCTTGCATCTCCAGAGCCAGAAACCACTGGAGCTGTAGGGAGGTTGCTGTATCTTAATTCTCAGGCATCTTTGCTTGAGATTGTATCTGTTTCCATCTTCCTAATTAGAAGCAGTTCTGTTTGCCTCTTCGTTATCCTGAACGTTGTTAAACCCTGAGCTTAGACTAGAGGTTTGTTCCAAGATGGTTTCTGAGTAGTGTGTGAGATCCACTGCCCTGCTGGCCTCTCTGGCTGCAGGAACCTTTATTTCCTCCTGGCATCCCACCAGCATGACACTATCCAGGGCAAAATTAGTCTGCACAAAGGGCTGAGGCAGCTTGGATTAACCCAGAGGAAGCTTACCCAGTCCAGCCACTAAAATGATGGTAAGTCTGTGCAACCCAGGAGCTCCTGCTGCAGATCTCCTGGGGAAGCTGTTTGGGGAAAAGCTCACAGAACAAAGCCACACTGTGGACTCAGCCTCTCTTCCTCCACTCATCCACTCTGCTGTGTGTTGTGGTTCTTGCAGATCCTCGTGCTGCTGTTCCAGCTGGCGCCTAAAGCAGAACCAGCTGTGGAGTTAGACATTCCCATGGCCGGGAGCAACTCCGTCCACTCTGGTAGCCAGTAGGAATTACTGAGCATTATACGAGGGATGCTGTGCTATTGCAACCAGCAAGGTGGACCAAAGGAACTGTTTACTTTCTCAGCAAATGAAAACTGAAAATTAGTTGTGCTCTCCTCTTTCCTCAGGGTCTAATGGGTTTCATTGGTCCGGTGGGGGAGCCTGGAATAGCAGGAGAAAAGGTAGGATTGCGATGAAATGGTTGTTGTAATTTTTGCAGGATGGGGAGGCTGAGGCGGGAGAAGGGTTGTGGAGATTTAAGTTGACATGTGAGTGCAACACCCAGCTGGGAATGAAGCATGTCCAGGGTGTCTGAGCTAGACTAGGACCAGGCCAAAATCATCCATTTCTCATTCAGGAATTAACATGTGCTGCCCTCCAGGGAGATGCTGTCAAATATTCCTTGAAAAATTAACTTTCTTCATTCATAATGTGCCAGGCAGTTTGTATTTAACAGTCAGCTCTGTTTTTTATGGCAATGAGGGATCCATCAGCCCTGTGTTGCTGGTCATGGGAGGAGTCCATGGGATTGAGGTTACAGATTTCTGTAGAGGTGTGCTCTGGGTTGCCAGGGGGGTCATGCTGGACCAGGGCTGAGCCTGCATTGAACAGCAATTTCTCAGGTGCACAAGAGTGCAGCCACCCATCTGAGCAAAGGCTAGTCCAAATATTTCCCTTCTGATCTGGTGAGGACCATCCTATCTGACTGCCCCTGGTTGCTTTGGGCACACTCAGGGCTGGTGCCCTCTTGGGTACAGTACAGAAACAAACCTCTTCCAGGGGAATAAAAAGGGCTTTATTTCACATAAAAATGTAAAAGGACGTTAATTTGTTTTCTATTAGAGTGTAAACTTTTATTCAGAGGCAGCTCCCAAAGACAAATCATCTGTGTCACTCATTGTATCTCACTCGCACGCTGCTGGTTTTCATTGGTGGTTTAATTATTCACAGTGCAGCCATAAAGATAGTGAAGAGCATAAAACGATGCATTCCACACATCAGTGCTCTCTTTCTCACTTTTATTGCCTCAAGCCCTGTCCTGTGGGTAATGATGTAAAGACTCTGTGACAGTTATACTGTGTTTGCTGCAGATCCATTTTATCGTCTGTCCACAGCAGCCTTTCCATCCTGTGGGCCCCGGCGGGGCAGTAGCAGAACCAATCTCAGTCCAAGCTGTCAAGGCCCACAAGAACTAAAAGGAATGACATGATGTGGGCTGCATTTTAGAGAAGGAAAACAGAGGAATAAAGAGTCTGTGATGTGTCCAGGGTGGTTACACAGAAAATTGGTGCTTGAGTGAGCTGTCTCATTGGCAGCTGCAGCCCTGAATTGAATGAAGAATAAGGCATTTGCCATGCAGGAGACATGGGAAGATCTTTTTCTCTATTCCATTAAGTTCACATCTGCCCCTGTGCCTTCTGTGCCAAAGCCTTGACCACATGAGGTATCCTCAGCTTCCAGATCAGCTCTGTAATGTGATGTTACATCAGTGTCAAGGCAAACCCGGGCTGCCCTTTGAAAATCTGCCCTTGGAGATCCTCAGCACAGCTGGGATTTCCATCAGGCTTCTCTACCAGGACAAACTTAGGGATGACAGAAATAGCTATCATCAAATCAAAACCTCAATCAGGCCTCCAGTTGGCATAGTATCCTACAGCTTACTACGCTCTTGTGAGCTAAATGAAGTGGGAAATATGCTTCCATTAGACATAGCTGAGTCAGCAATCTCCATCCTGAGAGCTGCAAAACTTAAGACTGAAGCCAGCAGAATCCAAAGATTATCAAAGAGAACAATACAGTAAATACACACTTAATAAAATCCATCCATTCAGGGAGAAAAAAATCCGTACATTGGTTTACAAGGGCCAACTGGTGACAACACAAACTCTGGGGTTTGTTTTTAATAAGCTCCTTAGAGCCCAGAAGGGATTTCCCCTTATGCTTTTTGCTGTTGGAAGGTAGGACAGATTTTGGGCTTAAACTAATTGGCAGCATTTGCTAAATCCTCCTTCCTCATCCCCCTGAGCATACAAATCTAACACACCTAATTCCCAGTGCATCCCTGGGGCCAGAGGGAGACTACAGACAGTTGTGTGGGAATTGCCACCATCTCCCAAAGGAGCTGTGTCCCAAAGGAGATGAGTCCAAAAGGAGATGTATCCCAAAGGAGATGTGTCCCAAAGGAGATGAGTCCAAAAGGAGATGTGTCCCAAAGGAGATGTGTCCCAAAGGAGCTATGTCCCAAAGGAGATGAGTCCAAAAGGAGATGTGTCCTAAAGGAGATGTGTCCCAAAGGAGATGTGTCCCATTACTAAAGCCACACCTTCATGTCACCCTCACATCAACAGGTTGTGGTGGTGCTCCTGGGGGCTTAACCATTTTGTCTCCTACCTTTGGGTCAAGGATGTATTCATGGCAAGTGAGATGGTCTGCATGAGGGGATAAAGAAGACTTTTGTGGTGAATAAGCGATGTCTTGGTACATAAAGCTTTTCAACCACTTGTTTTAGAAGGGATCCTACCTTTAAGGTGGGCTGAGGAGTCATCCAGCTCCAAGCCCCTCATAAATCAGACCTCCAGGTCATTGTTGCTGGCACTGTGGTCTCAGCATGAGCCACAGGACTGGAAGTTCCCCCAAAACACCCACAGTCTCCTCTGAAAGCACCAGGCAGCACCTCTGTTTTTTTCCACCTTGATTCCCTGCTCTCAGCAGGGCCTCTAAATCCATGGCTCTGAAACTGCCAGCACACGTAGGGATTGTGATACTGTAGAACAGGCATGTCATGCCTTGGGTGGGAAGGGCTGGAGATTTCCTTGGGTTCAGTCCTAGCACTGTTTGGAATTGAAGGTGATGTGCCTGTTTTCTTCACACCTTGGTGGTTTTGATGGCAGGAGTAAAGTCCCCTCTCTTGGGATGTGGAGGATTAGTTAATTCCTGCAATCCTTCCCTACTCTGATGAGAGGGATGGAAAGAGAGTAATACTGGAAGCATTTCTGGTAGAAAGCTGATGGCATAGACATGAATTGGTGAATTTTTTTAGTTGTTTCATTGCTCTGGATCACTCTTCCCTATGCACCTGTCTCTCTCCAGGGTGACCGTGGCTCAGTGGGACCCCCAGGCCCTCCAGGAGTCAAGGGGTCGATGGTAAGGAGTAAGTCTGCATTCTCTCACTCTTGCTGCTGCCTCTGTCTCTGTCCTAGCCAAAGGTGCGGCTTCTCCTGGTCTTTCAGTTTCATGGCAACAGCTGCAATTTCTTCCCATGTCTGTGGGGATGGGAATGGGCATTTGACTGGGTGGATATTGAGGCGTAGCCTGTCCCCAGAAGTTGTGTCCAGCAGTTTCCCCTTCAGTTTTGAGGTGTGTTCTGTGGCTCCATCAGCTGAAGGACTGCCTGTTCCCAAGCATCCTGGCTCTGGAACACACAGTGCCCACCAACAAGGATCTGTCCAAGCTGCCCAGAGCAGCTGGAAGTGCAGGGTGCTTGGGCAGCACAGTCACTGTGCCTTGCTGTGCGCTGCCTTTCGGGGATCTACATTTAGGAATTTAACAGTGGGGACCTCAGCTGGATCTTGTCTTGCTCTGACACTCGTTTCCTGTCTACCATAGTACAAGACCCAAAGACATATTTTCATATTACTTCAGTCCATTCTCTTCTATGCTGTTCAGAAAATCTTGCTGCTGATGTTGCTGGCTGGGTTGGAGCTGGGGTAGTGACAGCCTGGCCATTTCCTTCTGCCCCTGAGCAATTTTACCCTGAAAATATCAGTTCTGCCTGACCTTGCAAGCAACCAACAATGCCATTTCCCTGTCTTCCCACTTGGAGGAAGAAGGTCTGTGCAGATTGTGGATATTCACAGCAGGCATGTTCTTCTTCCTTCCCTTTTAGGGGCACCCTGGGATGCCAGGAGGAGTGGGTTTTCCTGGGATCCCTGGACCAACAGTAAGTAAAGGCTATCATCACCTTGTAATGGGCTAAGTCAAGCAACTGTATTCCAGTTTGAGTTTGATATGAACAAGAGATATGGGGAAAGGGATGGGACATGGGTGGGAGCAACATGGAAAGAGACACAGGAAAAGAACAGTGCTTAATTCAAAAAGCTGTAGCCCATTTCCCTAAGGAGGGATGCAGAAGTCGCAATCCAGCCTCAATCTTTTAGCAGGACACAAGCTCCCTAGTTCAAGGTGTTGTGGGCTGGGAATGGTTGGCAGTGTGGTGATCACACCACAGTGATGCATCACAGTCATTTATCACATTTATCACAGTGACCACGTCATGCAGTGTGACTGTCCTGCGTGGTCAAAGCCCTGCTGGCATGAGAGGAGCAGCAGAGCAGCTTCCCCAGACAGTCCCTCCATCTGGACAGGCTCATCTGGCACACTGCAGCCGTGGCTGGAGCATGCAATTGCCATGGAGGCAGATTTTAGCCTGGCTCCAGTTTCCCACAGATGTTCTTTAGATGTAGTTTGGGCTCTCCCAGCATCACAAGTGTTGCTGGAGCCAACAAAAAGAGAGCCCTGGGTGGATGCAGGGAATGGATTTTGCTCAGTGTGTGAATTCCCACAGTGCTGGTAACTGGGAGGAAGAGCACAGCAGTGAAATGCCTGGGAAGTGCCAAAGGTGTGGCCTCCAAACCAGGGTCAATTCTGCCACTGCCAGGAGCTCGAGGATGCTCTGGGTACACTGGCTGCAGGCAGCTGCTGCCTGGGCACAGACTGTGCAGTATCAAGCGAGTGGAGGTGAAAAAAAGAGAAAATCTGAGGTGAAGCAGCACTCATGGTGACTCATCTCTGCCTGGAGAGCAGCAACGTGGCACCAGCCAGGTCCTTACAGTAAAAGCAGCATGATGCCACCCGCAGCCCCCAGCCCTGAGCTGCTCTGTGACCCCTCATGGCAGCACTTGCTGTTGACAGAAGCCGAGGGGGCAGCTGGATATCTGTAGATGTCCCATTTTTAGCACCTTCCCATCATGTTAGCAGCTCCCTGAGTTGGGGACAGCTGAAGCAGTGGGCTCCCTCCTGCTCCAGGCCTGTGAGCACCCATGGCCGAGGCAGTTTCTGTGACAGAGAGCTCAAGCCCTGAGCACCATCCCTGCACCACTAAATGTACATTCAACTGAAGCCAAATTTTGTCTGTCTTCACTGGGCCATAACAATAACATGAGCTGAGGCATCAGATCCAGGTGGAGATACCAAAACCTCTCAGCAAGGCTCTGGGAGCTGAGGCGGTCCCTGGGTCCTTCCGCTTCCTTCAGTTCCCTCTTCTCCTGCAGGCAAATAACAAATTTGTCCAAGCAAAATGTTTGCTCCACAACTGCATTTTAAAAAGTCATAATTCAATAAGCCAAACTTCCCCACAGAGCCAGTAAATCAAATAATCTCCTAATATCAAATCCCCACTCATTAACTCCAGCTGTTTTTCCACCAAACATTCCTTATTTGCCTTTCAAGCCAGACCTGAGGCATGCAATTGTTGTTTGTCCTAAACTGTTAAAATCTTTGAATGAGCCTTAGCAGTGATGGGTGATTAATTCAACAAAGGATGACTGGAAATGGGAAGCAAAGTCAGTGGTAGGAAACTTTGCCCTTGGTTTCAGCTTTCTGAGGCATGTGAATTCCTTTTTCCTCTTCTTACCATTATGCTGCATCTTTTCTGTTAATATACAGTTTTGAAAATAATGTGTATATATAGGAATATTGGCCATGTATCTTCTCCTAAACAGTTCATTGAAATTCCAGCAGGGTATCTAGCTGTTCCCTCAACATTTGCCATCATGAATGTTTCTGTCCTTGTATTTCCATAAGGTATTTGGGACAGGCTGAGACTTCCAGAGATTCCAAATACCAACTAAGGACTTCATTTCAGTCCATGGTTATCATCAAAATCTCTATAAAACAGGCATCAAACACATCCACTGCCTGTGCCAGTCATTGCTATCCTCACTACCAAAACTGAGATGTGCTGTGATCACAAATGCAGTTACAGTCAGCTGACTTTTCCATACTGAGAACAGCTCAGCATTTATATCCTGAACTTACATGCCATGCACAAAAGCAAAATCTTCATAAATTGCAGCAGTAGGAGCAGTAGGAAGATCACAGTCCAATTCTCCTCTGATCCATGGTGGAGTTTGCAGGGCTGACAGTTGGTAAAAGCTATTAATATGTAAACAGCCAAATTTGATGTGGGATGTTTGAGAGAGCAAGGAGTGAATGTGTCATTTTGAGGTTTTCTCTTCTGACAGCAGAAAGGCACTAACTAACTTTAAATATCAGGTTTAAAAGCTGTGATACAGAACTACATCATGTTAAATAAATACATCCTTTTTTTTCTACTCTGATAAATATTTTAGGAAAAAACCTGGTTTTCTGTATTTTCTGTATGCACATTAATGAATCATGTGTGTACAAATCCAGATTAAAAGAAAACCTGAAGTCTTTCTCTAATTTTAAGAACAGGATCATCCACAACACCAACAGTTCGCATTAAATTAATATCTGTCTGCCAGTATCAATATTTATGCAGCATTAACAGGGCAACAGTTATTTTAAGATAGTATTTAGCTGAAAAGATCAAACTTGGATACCAAAGATGAGGTGTCTGATTTTGTATTTGGACATCTAAAAACCAGATCTCAGTTATTATTATTTTTGAACAGATGCTGAGCAACAGCTGCTTTTAATAGATTCAGAGGATTCTGGATGTTCAATTTCTCTTTACATCACACCACTGACACAGGTAACAGGCTGCAGGTCATTAAGCATACAAACCTCAGCCAGGATCTTTGGCCTAAATGTTCACAATCCAAAGACAATCCATGACTTTAAAAAAAAAAAAACCACCATTTATAGACAAGTAAAAATGGTGATGTTTTTAGCAAGTGTTTAATGAATCAATCTGCTGGTCAAGGGTCTGCATCTGAGGGCCCTGCAGATCATATAGGAATTTAGGGTCTTACCAAAGCTTCTGCCTTCCTCATTTTGTTTCCTTTTTCCCCTTGCAGGGTCCGGCAGGAGCCCGTGGTGCACCAGGGGTCCGAGGAATGAAAGGCCGCAGGGTAAGCGCTCTCCATGAGCTTTCATCCCTCTCCTCTTCCAGACACTGGAAAAACAATCTGGAGGTCTAGTCTGGGGGTGTGAAGATGAGCAGAAGTTGGGCAGCACCCCCACGTTTCTGCTGCACATAAAGGCTGTGTGGTCCTTGAAATAAATCTTAACAGGGAAGTGACTGCAAAGGATGTGTAAGGGCAGAGGGGTGTCCAGAGTACAGGTTATCATGGAAGTGGTCCAGCCTGTCTTTTCCAACTAGCTGCCATGTCAAAACACAGTTTATGGATGCTTCTGGTGAGATTGATGAAGATATAATTGCCTGAAGATATAGATGGGCTGTGGGAAAGGGTGCAGGTAGAAAACCAGAAAAGGTGCTTTCATTGCTATGGGAGAAAAAAATAGCTGAGATATGAAGTGCTGTGATATAACCAGAGGCAGATGAAGGAGGAAAGGGTATGTCATGACATAGAATTAAGAGACCAGGCTGACAGAAATGGAGCTGGGCTGTTCTACCCATGTGTTCCCCTCAGTCCCACAGGATTGACTTCTCCGGGCAGGGCTCCACAGGCATGTGAGGAAAGTGTGCTTTGCATTGTCAGTAGATCATATTATAAGCATGTCCTTTGCCTTTCTAAGGATTTTTCCAGCCCTGATTTTATGTGTACATACCTCAACAGAGCCACCCTGTAAGCACAGGTGACTCCTCACCCTGCCTGGCACCACTGGCAGTGCTATCAGTTCCCATTTCCCCCAACAAAGAGCTCACATTCACTCAGAGTCAGTTCTTGTGTGGTTCTCCCCACCCTGTTTGGGTGACAGCCGACAGGACACTGACCTCTAGACCTGCCAAAGCTGCTTGTTTTCCTGCCTGTGACATCCAGCCCCCGTCCCACTGAGCTCTTCAATCTTTCTTCTCCAACGGGATATTTATTGCAGGAGCATTCCTGCTTGGATTGTTTTTCCTTGTCCAGCTGCTTTACAAAGTATTAATAGCAAGCATACATGAGTTCTGCTGAAGTCCCCAACAACAACATATTTTGCATTTCTCCCTCCAAGTATCTGTTTCCTTGTTTCATTTTCAAGGACATACACTGGAGTAAACTATACATTTTACCTACTCCCACTTTCTGCTTCTCCTGCAGCGGTATTGGAGCGGGGTAAAACTCTGCCTAAAGCTCTACCAGCAAGAACTGAGCCTCTGGATCTGCTGCTGGTGCTCCTGCTCTCAGCTCCCATTGCTGGGCTGTGCTGTGGTGGAGAGCTGGTGTTGTTTGAGCACTGCACTGATATAATCCACACAGAATTTGTGAGGCAGAGGGATGTGCTCTCTGAGATCCCCAGCAGGAAGGAGGAACCTGGGCTTTGCTGTGAAATTCTACAGATTTCAGTGGATATGATGTAGAGAAGTCAGTATTGTAAGAACCAGCAGGTCTCCTGCCTGGAGGATTTCTGGTTTGAATCTCTCTCATTCACATTTTCCTTCTCTTCATACTCTTAGAAGATATTCCAGGCACATAGTATCCTATGTTTGCTTACTTGCTCCTGTGATTCCGGCTCTTGCTTCACTCAGGATGGGGAAATGACCCCCCAATTGTAATTTCAGACATTACCCTCTGTCAATCCTAGCTTACAGAAGGGATGTAATTCAGTTCAGAGTGGAAACATGAATGCAGCCCCTGCCAGATGTTTGTGGATTCTATGAGCTCTGTTTGTAGATGCTTCATTAAAGTTATTCTGCTTTTGAAGGAAACGTAAGTAGCAAATATGGTTTTGATTGTAAAGAACAATGGAGACTTTTTGGGGTCTGCACTTATGTTGTGATAGGTTTTATATTGTCAAGATATGTATATTTTAAAAAGAAAAGCTTTTAAAAAATTGTAGCCTTCTTTTTAATCCTGACAAGAGCTATTGTTCCTTCACAAGTCTTTGTTTATTCCACCAAACTGATGCTGAGCAATCTTCCTCAAACATTATTTTCCTTTCTCCTCTTCCCCAAGGAGAAGAAACTTGGAGATGTGAGCCCAGGTTCATTTCCCTTCATCTGTACTCAGTGTAGCACTTACTGGATATGTGCTTAACATGCAGCTAGTGACAGCTACGTACATGCTTAAACCTAATTACTGAACCAAATCAAGGTTTAAATTTGGAGGCAGTTGGTCCAGCAAGCCCCTCGCCCTATGTCACTTAAATCCTAAAGCACATTTCTGTTAATCAGCTCCTCACAGCAGGAGGATGTGTGGTAAGGATAATGTCATCAAAAAGACTGGGAATCTCTATGAAAGGCTGAATATCAACCAGAGCCATGATTTTGTAACTCACATTATAAAGGTGAAATCCTACTGTAAAGTGCCTTACCTTGCCCTATTCTCCTGGCCAAGGTGCTTGTCATTATTTCTATAATTTTATCCTCTCTCTGCTGGGTTTTGGCTCAGGTGATACAGAGGAGCTTTTCAAATCCCAAAGCACATTTCTCTTTTCCACTTTGCCATTCATTCATCCAGCTCCTGCATCAGCTGCTGCCCAGGTGAAGCCTGCAAATCCAAGATAAGGGGAGCACACCTGCACTCCAGGCCCTTTGCTGCTCCGTGCCAGAGGGAAAGAATTGCTGCCTCTGCCACGTGGACCTGATGATTTCCAGCATCACCAACTCCAGCAATTTGTAAATGCCAGGGATTTGTAAAGTGGTGTTATCTAAACAAACCTGAAAATATTTGCCTTTCCAAGCCCAGTTGAGTTGTTGTTCATGGAGAAGTGGAGGGTATTGTTTGGCTTCCAGGGATCTTTCTAGTTGACTGAGAAAGCCTTAGAAGTGTTTGAGGAAAAGCTCGTTCCAGATCCATGGCCAGGGATGTCTCCCTTTGGCTTCACTCAAGGCATCTGCTTGCTTTGTTGTTTGGCCAGACTGTGATAGCGAAATACCAATATTTGGATAACTGGGTAAGGAAAGAGCCTTGGGTTTCTGGAGAGGAGCTACTGAGTGCTCCTTCATGCTGCAGTTCAGAGGCTGGTCACTGTCTCTGAGCTCTGAGTAGGTGTTTAACAGGAGGGAATGCAGCTCTGCTCTGCAGGAACACCCTGTTGAACACACAGTTCTGCAGGAATATTGTCCACTTTAGCAGCAAGATATATCCCTGTTGCCTCACCTGCAGTGACAAAGCCTGGAGCTGAGTTCCCCTGCCTTTGTGAGCCATTCACATCCAGGCACCATCACAACCCCGTGTTTAGTCTGGGGTATCTGATAGCGCTGCTTGGTGTTGTTAAGCACTGGGAAATGCTGGCCTGGCCTCCACTGACCAAAGGGCACTGAGGGTCCAAGGGGACCCCAGGGGTTGCGCTCAGCCCTGCTGGCAAGGCCAGGCTGCCAAGTCTGCAGGGGGAAGGCACCTTGAGGAACCTTGAGGCTCCTGGCTTTGGGACACTCCCTGGGAAGCTGCCAGGACCTCACTCACTCATCTCTAACCAGTGTTGTCAGTAAAAGAGAGATTTAAAAATTTAACTAATTGACTACATGTAGCTTTTCCTGTCAGGGTGGATTAGGGGAAGCCTTTAGCCCAGGTTTCAGCCCAGGAGGCTGGAGAAGATGAAGCTTGCCACACACATTTGAGGATAGAGAGTCACTTTCTCCTTCTTCAGGTCAGATGCAGATGAGATGTGTTGTGATGGGATTTGGCAGGTGACTGCTGTGAAGTGAGATTGCCCTGGCACATCTTGCCATGCTGGTGACAGGGCTGTGCTGGAAGAGGTGAGGATGCTGTAAACACTTCCCCAGCCAGCCTGGTGAGAGCCACAGTCATCACTGAGCACCTGACAGCCTCTACCTGGCTCAGAGTAGCCCCTGCACTGGCAAAGGGGCTGGACAGGGCAGGACAGGCTACAGAAGATGGGTCTGGAGGGGCTCATTCCAGTTTCCTGCCCAATTTCCCAACCCAGATCATCACTGTAATTTCCATGTCCCACTTATTTCTGATCCCTGCTCCTTCTTCCAGGCCTGAGCTAAAGGAATTCTTGCCCTCTGCACATCCTTCCCCTGCTTCACTAGCAGGTCACCACATCATCTCAGATAGCAAAGATGTAGTTGCACAAAATATCCAAGTGGCTGCTCAAAGGAAAGGGCAACAGTTTGTTTTCCAGGGAGGATAAGCATTAGGTTGTTGAGGATGTTTTCCCAGCATCATTCCCATGCTGACACCTCCCTTCCCAGTGCAGGTCTGGGATTTGCTGCATGTCCCAGTCACCCCAGGCAGCCTCCAAGATGCCTCCAGGCCCTGCTCTTCCACCACCCCAAGTAACAGGGCTGTCTGACTCAAGCTGTCAGTAGCCCTGCTTTTAAGTGACCTTCTGGTCTTTGTCATTGTGCTTTGAGGTTTATAGGGACATGGCTTAATAAAGCTTTTGGTCTTTATTTCTCTCTGATCTAGGGGCCAGCATGAGCCACAGCACTTGGGATGTGGGGCTGGTGAGAGGTGCTGTGACATTTGTGCAGCACAGCCCAGCTGTGAAACACCCCTTTGGTTGTGGGGATCCCATCTGGGGCACAGCCCTCTGTCTGTCTGTCTGTCTGTCCTGGAGGCCAGGCTGAGCACTCTGCTGTGCCATACTGGCAGTGCAATACAGGCTCTTGGTTATTCACTCCCTGCTCCTCTGAGCAGCACAGGGCTTTGCCAAGCTCAGTAGGAGTTTTTGCATTATTTTATATTGACAATGTTTGTCTGCTGTAATAATTTGGCTGGGGTTCCTATACATTTCTGCTGTACACTGCTTTTCTTTGTGAGTGTCTCTCTTTGCCTGTCATCCTGGAGTTGCTTTTCTAACACACTGGCTCCCTAGCCCTGTTATTACTTTTGGCACTGGGTTTGCATCCTGATTAAGCACATTGGCTCCTGTTTTCCCTTTCTGCACTGGCCAGCTCTCAGAATTCCTCTTACCACTACAATCTAGCACCGCTCTGTGTTTTTATTTATTATTTATATTGCAGTAGTGCCTAAGAGTCCTAACTGAGCTCATGAACTGATTACAAACATGACATCTGTTAGCAGAGTCTCTTCATATGGCCTTTTTTGACTCTTATTTTCTTTCACTGCGGCTCTTTATTCTCTGTCAGTGTGATGCACTAGTCTCTAGGGGTCAAATGGTGCAGAGGGTTGTGTGTTCGGCTTTTGTGAAATAAGCTTGAAATATAGATGGTCTTTAAAGTCCCTTTCAACCCAAACCATTTTTTCTGTGATTCTCTGATCATATCTTTACCATTTTCCTAGGAGCCCTCACTTGGAACCCTCTAAAAGAGCGAGGGTGCCCCTTCCTCAGTGATGCCCAAGCTGGACCATGAGCTGTTTAATTTTAGCTACTCACACCTGCTCATTTGCAGCAGGATGTGTGTCCCACACACCTCCCGAGGTCCCTGTGCCCACTGCCCACTCACACACCCAGGAGCAGATGCTGGCCATGGCACCAGACCCTCCCCACCTCCACTTCCACATCCACAAGCATCTGCCTCGTCCTGAACAGCAGCCAGATCTTCAAATATCACATAGCTGTAGCTGAGGCCTTGGAGTTCAGCTGCCAGCAAATACACCTTTCTCTTTGGGAGGAGTTTGGGGCTCAAGACAGTGTGAAAGTCCTGTACACTGGGGGTTGTGCACCTCTATGCCACCACTGTATGACACTGGGGTGTGGCAAGGGTTAAGGACAAAGGTGTTGGACAAGCAAGGTTTCTAGGAAGGAAAATGTTTGTTGTCAATAAGGCTGGAGCTGCAAGTTTGCCTGTGCATTGCAAAACTATTGTCAGAAAATAAGGCTGTTCCTGGCCTGCTTTTCTCCTCTGGCTTGGTAGTTGGTTTAACAAGAATAAAAAGTGCTGTGTGCTGGTAACGGTGAGAAATGAAGCAATAAAACAGAGAAAGAATCTTTTTAGTCCTGGGCTCTGAGCTGCTGTGCTCAACCCGAGCAGGTACAAGTTGGCTTAGCCAGGATTGATCTCATGGACTGTCCTGGTGGCCAAGGCTGAAGTGACAGCTGGATTTTTCCAGTGAGCCATATCCTCTGTCTTCTTATTTTTGCCACTCTTTTGCCTCCCTCTAGGGTGCCAGAGGGCCTGATGGACCCGTAGGCGAGCCAGGGTCGCGAGGTGTCAAGGTAAGTGCCAAGGCTGCTCTCAGCTGTGTTGTGAAATGCTCAAGGTCACATCCAGGAACAGGGATGTTCAATTGCTCCACGAGGATCAACCAGCAGGGATGATTTTGTCTTGCAACCAGAGTAAAATCTACCCAGCACCGGTATCAGGGCCCTTGCCCACACTCCCAGCTGGCTGGGGTGTTCCTTGGCGCACAATCGCGGGTGTTTGGCCTCTCAAAAGCTACAGGGAGCTGGAAGGGAAATTTGAGGCACAAAAATGCAAGAGCAGATGGGCTGGGGCAGAAGAGCATCCCCAACAGCTTGTGCTCCTGCTGACGCGTCTTTGTCTCTTTGTTTTGCAGGGCCGACCAGGGGAGCCAGGCAGGGTGGGCCCAGATGGGCTGCAGGTATGTCCTCTGTGAGAACCACAGCTGCCAGCCCTGGGGACACCCACATGTCCTCAGAGCCCTCCAGGCCAAAGCACCACGGGTGTGTCAGCACATCGCCAGCTGATAACTGCTGTAACTGTGTCTTCACAGGGCAAGATGGGGGAGACTGGGGAGACTGGAGCACGTGGCTTCCCAGTAAGTGTCCATACCTTCCACTTCCTTTCATAACCTCAAGTCCTTAAGTTTTGAGTCCTGGTCCAGGAGGAAAAATCTGGACCACATCTCACACCTACAGGGCCAACTCTTCCCCTCCTTTCACTGGAGCATTTTTGAGGTGCACATTTCTGCCAAGAGATGTGAAGGATTGCTGCTAGGTTGAAGCTGACCCTGGTGTTTCTAATTTTTCTAGGGTATCCAAGGACCTTCTGGACCTCCAGGAGCAAAAGGGGCTCCAGGAGACCCGGCAAGTCTCTTATCACTCTCTCTCCATCTGTCTTTCCTTGCACACAGACACTTCATTTCTTTCTCTGTCTCTTCCCCACCACTTATCCCATTCCCAGCTTCTCTGTCCTTGCCAACTCCAGCGTGGTCAGAGATGTGAAAGACTTGGCTAGAGTCCTAGGAGCCATAAGGAAAGACAAGGTCAGACCCCTGGAAAGCAAAAGGGAGCCATGGATCTACCAGGGAGAGTGTAGGATACAGCCTGGGGTGGGTTTTGGAAGGGAAGGTAGAAAAGAAGGGCAAGGCTGGGTCTGGGACAGGGTCAGATGTAACAGAAGATCTGGAGTGTAGGTAGTAGAGTGGAAGGGGGAGCAGGAGGGAGGCTGATGGTGTCAGAACTGAGCCCACAGCTTTGGGGGAGTCACTGGGGAAAGACACAGACCTCAAGGGGGGCCAGCAGTGCTGGACTGTGAAGGGAGAGAGTTAACCAGACACTTTCAGATTACCCACTGCAGCTGTTTTAGATGGGACCCAGGAAGATGAAGAATCTTCTGAGCTCTTTGCCTGCTAAGGTGACTCTGCACACCCACTGCTGGTCTCTCCATCCCACTAGCCAGATCTTGCACAGTGAGAACTCCTCTGAGATGTGGGAGGGAACTGGTGTTTTATCCTACAGACCATGGAAGTGATGGCCCCTCAGAGATGAAAGCAGCTGTATGAAGAGAGCCTTGTGTCTCTATTTTGCAGGGTCCCCAAGGACCACAGGGGCCACCCGGGCCTTTGGGAGAAATGGGGCATAAGGTAGGTCTGACCTTTGTTCCTGTTTGTTTTCCAATCAGGAGTGGCAGGACTGAGGGAGGAGTAAACATGTGGGAACATCCCTCCACACACCTTGCAGTGTGGAACGATCAGGAAGGATTCCCCTAAAATCTGAAAGCCAGCTTCCAAAACAAACAGCAAAAATCAGAAATTCAAGCACCCTTTTCATCACAGGCCACAGATACCCAGCTGGTGGAAGTGCAGACCCATCTTCTCAACAGAAGATACATTTCAAGGGTGACCACAGCAGGGACCAACTTTTTGCACCAGGGTGCACAGTCAGGGAGCCAATACAAGCACAAATCAGACTGAGTACCAGTCTTTCCCTCTCCCTGGTGCTGTTGCTGACACACCACAGGTTTGCCAGCCCACCCAGATGGCCATGGCAGGGCAGAGGCTGCTGCAGCCACTGCAAGAAGCTCAGAGACGCCTTTGCTGCTGACGGTGCTGCTGGGCTGTGGTTGCCATGAAGCAGTGACACAAACACACCAAAACCCAGCAGCAGCTGCCAAACTGTGCCCCAGTGGAGTGCAGGGGATGCCTCCATGGTTTCCCCCAACTCCTCTGCACTTTTGGCTTCATTTCAGTCCTCTTAAAATAATATAGTCTTGGCTCTTTCTATCACATGTGCCAGTGCCCCTTGTACAGCTCCTTTCTGCAGGTCCTGAGCTGTAACACAGACATGAAGGTGGCTTTGAATGCAGTCTATGCAAAGTGTATGAGTCATGAAAGTTTCCATTCTCATGGCTGCTGGACTGGATGGAGCGAGCTCTCAGCATGGTAAACCACACTAGGAAGCTGGAAAGCAGCTACTTAGCCACTCTGGATGCTGCCAACCAAGAAAGTACAGACCTTCATTCAAATCTGTAACTCCTCCAGGAGCCTTTCTCTGCACTGGCACCTCTGGAGAAACCAAAGCAGGATTTTTGCTTTCATTGGAGCTTGAATTTTCTCATTGCGTGACATGACCATTTGTTCACAAACCCAACACACACCCTGCTCCCTCCTCTGCTTGAATCCAGTTCAGCAAGCCAGGAGCTGGCTTTATTCCCTGGGTAGCTCCCTTGACTATGTGCTCTTTTTTCCTTTATTCCCAACTGTAAAGAGAAGGGAGATTGTTGTCTGGAATGCAAATATCATAAGTAAATAAACCACTCAAATCCTTTAAAGAGAAGCTTTACTGTCCCATCTTGGGGCTTGTTTTACAGACTCTCATTCCCCACACTTCCCAGAGGTAGGACCAAATGTACAAAGATTAAAGCTCCCAACAGATCTTGGTACTAAAGATAGTGAATGACTGTGACCCCACTATCAGGGGCTGCACATGGAGCTGGACTGAGTGAGAATAGTTTGCAAGGTCATTCTCACATCTTCCATCTTTCTATCTTAATTCCTGTCTTTTCCCAGGTCAAACACGCACTTTTGGCTCTTTGGGGGGTGCCAAACCCCCCTACCAGAGTCTGTGCTCACACAAGAGTGAGAAACTTCCTCTCAGCCAGTCCAGCCTGGGCTGTGGATTCTGGTCTGAGCCCAGGCATTGGCCTTTGGATGTTTGCTGGCCCTGTACAGCCAGAGACAGCTGGCTGATGGATATCAATGCTCATCTGGCCAAAACTTGTGCTGGAGTGTCACCTTGCTGCCCTCACCTCCCTTTAGCTGGCAGCACCATCGTGCCCCTGCCTCTCTGGGAATGGGGGGCAAGGGCTCAGCTGGAAGATGTGGCCTGTGGGGCAGCTTGACCCTCATCAGAAGGAGCCTGTTGGTGCAGAGGATGTGCTCACACCAGTGGGAATGGAGATGTGGGGCTGCAGGGAGCAAGAGCACAGCCAAACCTTTCTGTTACCCACTGTACCAGCCCAGCCTGCTGGACCCTCACAAAGAGCTTCCAAGTCTAATTCTGGACCTTTGCCCTTCTATCCCAGCTGGTTCCAGTGCTGCTCCCTGGTGGGGTTACTAACCTTAGAAAGCAGAGGGGTTGGAAGGAGGCAGAGAAAGGTGCTTGGCAGAAGAGGCTGGGGAGAGGGGAGGTGTGAGAGTTGATCAGAGCCCTCCCAACATCCAGGCACGAGGGGCCTCTTTGATGCTTTGGACCCTGAGCCAGCTCCAGGGAGGTAATTGCATTGCAACCAGGGCTTGGCTGTCCCAGGAGAGGACTGCTAAAGGAGTTATGTCTTTGATCTTGCTTTCTGCTCCGCTACAATGGGTTCTTTCACTATCTTGTTGGGTTTTTTTTCCCAGGGACCACCAGGCTCAATGGGACAACCTGGTCTTGCAGGTGAACCTGGCATGAAGGTAAGAAAAACACCAAGTGTAATTTCTCTGTCAGACTGGGGAGATAAATGCCAGCTTGTGTTCCTGAAGGGCTGAGTGACATTGCAGGTTTACCCTTCAGCAGCCAAAGCTTATAGTGCATTCAATAAAAGATGAAGTTTAAAAAGTCTAAAACTGGGTAAATTTTAGCCATTTTTACAAATTCCTGAGCCCCATCCCGAGGGAGAGGCTGTCAGTGCTGGGGAGAAGCCCCATCCCAGGGATCTTGTGCCTCAAGAGCTGTGAAGGACCTTGGAAATGAAGCTCAACTCTTTGCAGATCGAAATCTCAATGGAGAGAGGAGTCCTTGAGACTCAGAGATCCAGGCAGCTTCTAATTTGAAACCAGAAGAGTCTTTGGAAGGTCTCAGACTTAAAAATACCCTCAGACAAGGTCCTGACACAGTTTCCAAGCCTCACCTCTCTGGGGACTGAAATCCTCTGATGGTTAAGGGGGAAGGTTGACCTGCTTCAGACCATGAATGCACCTTCTTGTCCACATAAAAGCCATCTCTTTGTCTGAGTAAAATCCCAGTGCTGAGCAGCTCAGAGGGGGCTTTATTTAATCCTAACCCCCTTGGTCTGAAGATTTGCTCCTGTGAACAGAGCTTTTGAACAAATTCTATGTGGGGATTAAATGCAATTTCCTCTGTGCTGCTCTTCACTCCCACCCCCCACCCCATCCTCTGCCATGTTTTCCTTGGCAAATCTTCTGACACTTCACTGGAGCTACCCTGTCTCTGGCATCCTGATACTGCATGAGTGTTTCAACTCCAGTGCTCCCAGCTGGCCCTCCTTGGAGCAGGACATGATGATTTGCACAGACACCCCTTTACCTGCTGGCCTTGCTGGGAAGTTTTGGAGTCAGAGTCCTGTCCTGCTCCTTCTCCAAGCTGGAAGGAGTTGGACCAAGAGCAGTTTGCTGTGGGATGAGGTTTATGGATGACTCAAAATCTTTTTTCCTTGAATCTTCTGCATTTTCTGAGCTCTCTTCCATGCAAAGCAGATCGTTGGGTGGGCAGGATGGCAGAGAGCTGCCCTATGGCCATCCTACCCCCACTGCCACATTGGCAAGCTCCATTTCTTTGCCAGCTCCACCGCCTTCTGTTCACTCATCTAACTGCTGTCAAAGATTCAGGTCCTTCTGGAACTGGGGCTAAAAGAGCTGTTGGGGCTTTTTTCCTCCCTCACTGCCACCACACCACATTGCACCCACCCTGCTGCTTGTCTGTGAAGGATCATGCCAGAGAATTCCTTCTGGATCTGCAGCTTCAGGCAGCTCAGACCCCTCTGTGACCCTTGCCCTGCCAAGCATCATTGCAACAGAGCCTGTGAAATGTGTCCTTCTCTGCTGGGCCCTTGAAAACACAGCTGAAGGTGTTTGTGTGGGAGAAAGAAAGAAATAGTCAAAATTAGGAGTGGGATGGGAAGTACTTGATGCTCCCTCACTGTCAGTAAACATCTTGTCTCCCCATATGTGCTTCCTTCTTTTTAGGGTGATCCTGGCCTGTTAGGAATCCCTGGAGAGCAAGGTCTCGTTGGCCCAAGGGTGAGTATGGCCATCTTCTGGTGGGGCTTCTGTGCCTCATCAGTTCCCCAGAGGTCCTGTCCTTGCTCTCCCACAGCCTGCAAGGGCTGACCCTGTTCTCTGCATCCCATGACCCTCCCAGCCCCTGTTCCTTCTGCGGGTCGTGGAAGTACCTTCCCCACAGAGCCCATCAGCCGCAGCTCAGCAGCCTGAGGCTCTCAGATGCCACTGTGACACCGAGTGTGAGAGGAGCAGTGTGGGAACAGATGTGGGAACAGACCCCTCCTGTTTGCCAGCGGCTGTGTCCATGCAGGGCCAGGCACACTGGAGCAGAAGGCAGCTTTAAGCAGGGAAACACTGGATACACTGTGTAGGCATGGGAGGGGGGGATGAATGTGTGGATTGAGGCTGGCAGGGGCTGTGTCCCTTCCCAGGACTGAGGTCAGGAGGATGGAGCAGGAGGAGGAAGCTCCAGGTTCAATGGACTCAGAGCTCCTCTTACACAGGGAAGGAGGGCTTCCCCCAGACCAGCAGCAGGTCCAGGGAGGAGAAGCTGTGGCTCAGAATAGAGTGAGAGGCTGAATTCCTTCTCTTGCTCCAGGAAGAGCTTGTTCAGCATTAGGGTATGAGATAAGACACGTGTCAGAGTGCAGGGCTGGGCTCCCATCACTGCAGCCTGGCTGCTGCTGTGAGCCAGCTGCAGGAAGCTCAGGGAAAAACACATTTAGGCACAGCCTTATGGTGTTTGCTTCTGTCCACAGGGAGAACCCGGGCTGGAAGGGGACAGCGGGCAGCTCGGGCCAGATGGGATCAAGGTAAACCTCACTGCCATGGAGCTGTAGCTCTCACCCACAGCTTTGTGTACCCAGGTCCCTGTGATTCCCAGAGCCAGGATGAGGCCAAGGGGATTATTGGGTCCTCTGTGGAATAAACCTCTGCCCTGCAATCTCTAAGGACTGCAAGCACACTTAACAAACCCCTCCTGTTTCACTCCTCTACCCACGTTTTTTGGCATCTGATCAGATCTCCAAAAAGGTCAAGTTCTTCAAAATCTGGTTTCCAACGATTTGTCTGTTTTGAGTCTTTACAGATCAAATTTCCAGTTAATCAGGAATTCCTGGGCCTGGCAAGGGAAATCAAGAATTGTCCATCACTCTCCCCTGCACCACTGACCAGAACAATGTTAGAGAGTAAAGAAACCAGATCCCCTTCCCTTGGCAAAGCCCCAGGATCTCACTCAGGGTTCACTCTGTGTCTCACTGCTATAAGTTTGCTACCTTGCCTTTGGAACAGGGCTCTGATTCCTGTCCCTGCACAGCCAGCCTTTCCAAACAGGCCAACAGTTTTGTTCCATGGAAAGAAAGAGCAGCCCATCCCACAACAATGTAGTTTATTGCTTCATCTAGTTAAACTATTTGCCATGTGTCTCTACTTCTGCTTATCTCTGACTGTTGGACCAAAAATCTCTTCCTTAAGGACAATCAAGGCTTCTGTATTCTCTTGCACTGCTGGCTGTGCCCAGGAGCTCTTGAACCAAGCCAGCTCTTTCCACCCCAAATGTGTCTCTGGACACTTAACCAGATGTGTCTGTGCTCTTACCCAGATGAGATCTTGTTGAGCTCTCCCAACACAGGTGCAAGAGGAAAATGGTTCAGCTCAAGGCTGCTTGGCTGCACATGCTGCTCTCAGTATAAAACTGGCCTTTATCATTGTATCCATATAATTTTGAGTGGTGGTACTGAATAATACAAAATATTTACAATATTTTGTTTATCTTGTTAAAAGAAAAGCAGCTATAAGTTTATTTCTTACACCTCTATGATTGTATTTCTGGTCTGCGTTCCACGTGGTTGATCTTGCCAAACATTGAAATTTTATTATCTGACAGACTTTTTTCATAAATTTCAATGACTGGCTTCACCAGAGGAACTTTAAGTGGGTATTGGGAAAAATTTCTTTGCTGAAAGGGTGGCCAGGCATTAGAACAGGAAGTGCTGGAGTCACTATCCCTAGAAGTGGCACTTGGGGGACATGGTTTAGTGGTAGGCTTGTCAGTGCTGGGTTGAAATTTGGATTCATTCATCTTAAACATCTTTTCCAACCCAAATGATTCTTTGACTGTATGATTCTATAATTGTCAGAGCAGTGATTTGACAGGATACCCACTGCTCAGGCCATAGATCCTTTACAGGGCACAGTGACACAGTTTCACAGAGTGTTTATTGGAGCCCTGGGCTGATTTCTGTTTGGCAGCAGGAGCCAGCAGCCGCTCCAGACAAACCCATCCTATTAAAAGTCTTTCAGCATCCCAAACTCAGAGCTTCTGGATGACGCAAGGGAGACTTCCAAATCTTGTCTGCCTGCCTCATTCACGTGGGAGGTTCAGGCCTTATTTCAGGAGAAGCAAAGGGGTTCAGGTTACTCTGTGAAATGGGTGAGTTATTTCTCCTTCAGCCAAGAGATTTTAAGGAAAAGAAACCTGGGTTTGCTCCTTTTTTTAAATGTCAAGCGTATTTATGACGCATCCTCATTCATCCTTTTGCTTGCAGGCTCTCTTCCTCTCAGACTCCTGAAATATTAATTATGTGGTGGTGTTTTCCCTTGCAAGAGCTTTGCACATTGACCCATGTATTGTGTGGGTATGAAAACCTCCCACCCTCCTCTCTTCCACAGGGAGACAAAGGAGAGCAAGGCCCAGAAGGAGAGAAAGGAGAAAAAGGCAGTGAAGGACTGAAGGGAAAAGAAGGACCTCCTGGATATCCCGGCATCCCAGGTGTCCGAGTGAGTCTGTGAACCAGCCCTTGGTGACCCGTGGGTTCCTGTAGGGATGAGTTTGTGAACCAGGACACTGCTTTAGGGCAGGAGGTCACCTGAGACATAACTTGTAAAAACTACGGTAAAGTGTGTTGTTTTCATGAAAATCTATGTCCAGGAGATGTTTTGGTCTGTCAGCTAGAGAATGGAGAGTGTGAATCTGATCTGCCACAGGTTTTGAGAAAGGGTGCCTCCCTCCCACACACCTGTAAGATGGAGCCCACACAGTGTCAGAGGGGGAGGCCCAGAGAGGAGCTGGTTTTTCCCTGGTCGCCACAGCTGGCTTGGGCCTGGAGCTTGGAATTGGCCACCTTGTGCCTTCTCCGATGGTTACTTGCTTGCTTCTGGTCTTCCCTTCTAAGATTTCCCCATTAAATATAGAAAACAACTAGAAGAAATCAGGAGGATATGACTCCTGAATCCTCAGTGAATATCCTGGGCATGTCTGGTTCACATAGAGGTCTGATCTTGGTGCTGTAGAAAGAAAAAGGTTGATTCTGGCCCTGAGATGAGAGGAAGGAGGGTGGTGGCAGGTGGAAGAAAGCTCTGCCCCAGTGCCCCAGTGGGCTGCTCTGCAAGTCAGGCCTTCCTGCTTGAAATGTGGAGTTTATCAGGTTGATGACATGGTTTATTCATTGTGATTGCTGTCTTGGATCAGAGTTATCAGCAGCAAGGGCTTGCAAGGCTCATTCCGCAGAGGGGCTGCCCAGCTCAGTGGGATGCACTGCTCCCCTATGGCACGTGGCTTACCCCTCATGCAGCTGGGGAACACACCAGCTCCAACCCCACTCATCTGTGGAAAAGGAACAAGAAGCCCAAGTTTAAAGGCAGCTCTGAAATCCCAGCCCAGGCCGGGTGGGAAGCAGCAGGGCCAGCAGGTACCGCCGAGCCCTGGGTGGATGCTCCGTGGTGAAACACTGATTTTCCTTTTGGTGGTGTTGTGGCTGGCTAAAAGGAGGGCAGGGAAAAGGGTGTGAGGGGATGGAAGCAGCAAAAGAGTTGGATTTATGTTATTTTTGGGCTGAGGTTGGGATTTGAGCACTGACTCGACTAGAAAGTGGAAACATTGGCTTCATACTGTAGTGCAGCACCATAAATGTGCAGAATAAGCCTGTAGTCCTGCCCCAAATAAGGCCACCCTTGGCCACAGGCCATGCACCCAACAGGGAGCCCTTTCAGGACTGGGATCATACCACAGGCAAGGGTGGTCCCCAACACCCCAGCTCCTTCCCAGCTGCCGGCTGGCACAGCTGGACAGTCGCCCTCCATGTGCTGTACTTCTGGCTGGTTCATGTGTTTATATTGTGTATGTTTTAAGAACCAATAAAAATACTAAAATCATGCAAAAGCCATATTAAGTTATAAAGTATAAAATACAGATTCTCTCAGACTCTGTCCCTGCTGTTTGCCAGCATGTCCCTGGGAACATGATGCTGTTTTCTGTTTTATTTAAAAAAAAAAAAAGAGTCAATAGAGCCATGATTCCTGCTCATAATCACTCCCTTTCAGTTGGTTTTTTTTTGGTTTTTTTTTTTACTGCAGAGTGCTATATTTCCATTTACTATTCTAATATACTTCTTTGTATTTCCTTATGCTTAAACTCAGGCAGACTTTCAGACCTGCATAGGCTCCAGATAGTGCTGCCTCCCCTGCCAGACACTGTTACCTAATACACAGGCTGGTGTTCCTGTGCTCACTGAGGTCATTTAAATATGGAAGTCCTCTGACAGAAGCATTTTCCTCCTCCCATTACTGAGAATTACATTCTGCATTCCAGTGGAAAGTACAAATATCAGTGGGATCTTCCTTAGATTTCTGTCAAGGTTTTCAGCTCACAGGTGCAAACTGCTAGAGATAACTGCAAGCCCCTCCTTTCCAGCTGAAGGTTAGAAGCTGGAATATCCAGACAAGCCACCCTCTGGAGTGCTGCAAAAGCCACCACAGGCATAGCCCACCACAAACTGCAATGTTCTGTTAAAGACAGAAGTCTTTAAGGCTACTGGACTAAGATAACAAAAAAGTCTTGTAATGGGGAAGTCGTGAAGGTTGTTCACCCAAGGGCAGATGTCAAGGTGACAAACTCCTGTCCAGGATTTGTGTGGTGGCATGGAAATTCATTGGGGAAGGTGTTGGAGGCACTTGGATTGCAGGGAGAGGGAGCATGTTGGGTTTGGGTGCTGCAGATACTGAGGGATTCCACACCAGCCTGTTGTGAATGGTTTTAATACTTCTGATGTGACTGTGTTCTGCTGTCCAATAATCAGTTTAGATGGTTTTAAGGACCTCATCTTTAGCTATTGCACCTGCATTTGGCCTCTCCTCACATCCCCAAGTCCTTGCATCTGTGCTTCACCACCTTCCTGCGTGGATCCACTGATGTTTTCCTGGGCTTTTCCTCAGCTCCAGTATTTGTTGGGAAATCCTGCTCAGCTACAAAGGGGACAGGGAGGATGTTGATGCTTCTGTGCCCTTCGCAGGGGAGATGCACACACAAGGATCTGTGCAGTTACCTGTGCCAACAAACTGAACTCCATTTAGGGGTGTGAAGCTCATCTTCTGCTTCTGGAAGAGGTTGGTGTTAGTTTGAGGAAGCTGATGCCCATCTGCAATTGTGGACACAAACAAAGTTCTACTAAACCTTGGCTTGTCCCTGTGTTACTCCAGAAGGGGGACCCACAGGGACATGCCCTCCCTGGACAGCAACAACATCTGGAAAACCCTTTCTCATCACAAGGTTCTGCAGCCACACCACGTCTTGAAGGTTTGTCCTTAGTGCCAAGGAAATGTTTAGTCTTAATCTTTATTTTGCTTATGTCTACAGGAATGTGACACTTCACTATCAAGTGTCCTTGTGACAGATGTAGGAAATGAGGTGCCAGATTGCTCTGAAATGATCTGACTTCACTGCTGGTACATTTTCAGCCCGTTTTGTATATCCTGGCCTGGAGCAGAGGCTGGTGCTGGCAGAGCAGGTACAGGAGCTGGGGAATTTGGCACGACCAGCTCACACCTAACATGGCAACAGGCCAGCATGAAGGATGGCAGGAGAACAGAGGATCTGCAGTCCTGGAGCTCCCTGGAGACGGCAGATGAAGGGATGTACCCCAGAGCAACTCTGAAAGCTGGAGGAAGCACAGAGGTGCCACCCTTTTGGGTCCTGCAGAAGAGAGACACTCACCTGGTGACTGATGGAGTCAGCACAGGCACATCTGGCTTTCCTGAGCAGGGCTTCATTTTCCAGAGCATCTTCCTGATGCTGATAGCACATGCCTGCCTGAGCACAACCAAACTTCCCTCTGTGCTCAGGAAACGTTTTTTCAGAGATCTTTAGCTTTAACTTGGCTCAGCCATTTCCAGCATTAACATATCTGAAAACCGGTTTCCACTGTGGTTTTGAATCTCAAACAGAAAGCAGCAGGGAGGCCCCAGTCAAGTCTCCAGGGGTAGTTTGTACGTGTTTCAATGCCAATGGATTTCTGCAAACAAACCTGGCAGCTGAGATGGTCCATGAGCTTCACAGCTGTGGCTGGCAGGGCTCGAGGCAGCTGGAGCTGAGATAAATGAGTATCCTCTATCTTTTGGTCACTTTGTCCAAGTTCACACTGCTCCATTCAGCCCCAGTTCCTGCTCAGTGGAGGGATGGGCCAGTTGTCCCCCTGGCCATGAGAGAGAAATCAGAGCATCAGTGCAAGATCCAGCTGGAATTTCCAGAGCTGTGCACCTTTCCTGAGCTGCTCACCCACATATTATCTCCTCCCAGAGGTTTCTGTCTTCTAACACAAACTTGTTGCCTTCACTTGACCTTGAGTCTCTTCTGAGCATGGCCATTTTCCCTCTGGTTTGAACAGCAAAAGGCTGAAAATCCCTTCCCCTTGCAGAGCACCAGGGACTGTTTTGGCATCTGCATTCAGAGACTGGCTGCAAATCCAGACTTTTTGTATGGGCAAGGCAGAACAAGGATATTCTCCTCAGTGTGTGGAGACATGGGAAAGTACAACAGCCTGGTGAACTCTGGCAAGGCATCCATCAGCAGGTGTCATGGTGTGGTTTGCCAGAATAAAAAGATCCTTTATGTGCTCATCTGTAAGGCTGTGAGGGAATATTGCCACAGAGCCTGAAACACCCAGAGAACATCCCTGGAGAGTAACCTGCATTCACAGAGGACCTGACTGCCCGTCAGAGCTGCTCATTACATCAGACGATGGTGAAAGCCAGGGGCTGAAGTCACTGGTGTGCCACCAACAACCTGGGCACAGGCAAGTGGGCCCTGAGAGCAATAAGTGCTTCCCTCTGCTGCTTCTCCTCTGCAGTGACAGAAAATGTGACATTTCAGCCCTTCCCTGGAAGGATGACAGATCCAGGGGTGGCTGAGGAAGGCCCAGGCCAGTTGGTGGAGGGAGGAGATGGGTTTCCAGCTGCACTCTGTGGCTCTGCACTGTGGTTTCTACAGTGTGCTGGTTGCCATACACGGCAGACATCTGATAGCAAGGGGTTTACAGTTCCAGGAAAGCAATTTGAGAGCCCGGAAGTACTGAAATACAACATGCTCTGAAACTAGAAATTCCCTCATTGTTCAGCAAAACTGGGAGTGAAGTTCTTTCCACTTCAATTTTAACCTGAAATCCTATCTGCAGTGTCATTCGAGCCATGTCAGGACTTAGAAAGCTTTGAGCCAGACACTCCAATGGTCTAAATTGCCATAAACAATTACATCAGAGAAGATCTTGCTGCATTTCCCGGCCCTGCTATGGCATGCAGATGTGCACCGTCAGCCCAGAAGAGCTGGAAGGGCTGTAAATCCTTTTGCTCTGGTGCTACAAGATCCAAAGTCCTTTCATTTGCTCTTCAGGAGTAGGGTAGGGTGACAGAGCTGGGCTGGGCTGGAGAGCTGAGAAGGTTTTTTGAGGAAATGCACAGGATCAAGCCACACTCCAGCCCAGTACAGAGCATGGAGTGAACTCATGGCT